AATCTATAACAGTGAAAAAAGTTTTTTGTTTTTAAATCCAAGCTATTGTGACACCAGATGTAATTGGTGGCACTGACTGGGGAAATGGGCACTGTGAGTCTGACACAGAAGCTGGCAGCAGTGGCAGACAACTAAGTGCATTTACATTAGATAGAAAAAAAAAATCCAAAAAAAGCATACCCTTATCCCTAACCTAGCTATGTTTTTCCCTATCTTATGAACAGCAGCTACACTTTCCCTCCTCTTACTAAGCATGCAGCTTGAGAATGAATCTAAAATGAATGCTGTCCAGTAGGTGGGAGGGTCTGCTAGGGAGGCTGTGCTGCTAATTGGCTGGAATGTGTCTGTTGACTGTGAGGTACAGGGTCAAAGTTTACTCAATGATGACGAATAGGGGGCGGGTCGAACCGCGCATATGTTCGCCCGCCGTGGCGAACGCGAACATGCTATGTTCGCCGGGAACCGTTCGCCAGCGAACCGTTCGGTACATCACTATTTATGACCCTGTATTGAGCGAGAACTGCTGCGAATCCAAAGAAAGTTTCAAATTTTTGGCCCAAATAGTTGAACTGAAAACATTTTGGCTGAAAATTTGAGATTTATCACCAAGAGAATTTTTGGGAATTCAAAGTGAATTTTAAAATAAATTAGTCGAACTAGAAGTATTGCCGACTTAGAGAAAATTAGAATTCATTTATTTTGGGCTTACAAACCTCACTATAATATAATATATGAAATAACCCTATAGAAATTCACCTTAAATTCACACTTATGTGAATAACCTGGCCGGACTCCTGTCCTCCTGCTTTAATTTGGGAATTTATTAAACCTGTGGTACTAGGCTAACCAACAAATAAGCCAGGGATTGTATTAATTAAACAGTGAATTGTGGAGAATTTAAAAAAAACAAACAAAAAAAACCACGTTTAACCAGGCTACAAATGGTAAAAAAGAAGCAAAAAGAGAGATTTTTTCTATTTTGTTCATTTTGCTGAAATTGACATTATTTCCCCAGTTCTCTATTTTGTCCTGCCTTTTGCAGATACATTTCTCAGATTAACGCAATGTTTAGTTTAGTTTAGTGAACTGATCCTTCGGTTTCCATCAATCTGATATTTTTAGTTGGCAATTTTTCATTTAAATTATGGGTTTTATTCACTAAATTTGTATTATGTGAATTTACAAACAAAGATAACAACTAATGAGATGGGAAACTTACTCAAACATATGACACATGACACTCGTTGAATCCCTCCAGAATTTGAAGAACCTGGCCAGGAAGGTGGAGGTGATGGAGTTGGGTGAAATCTCTTATACTGAGCTGGACTTTGAACTGCTGAAGTTAGAAATAAGAGAGATAGAATCCTCAGCTACACAGCTCCAAGCTTCCTTCAATGGACCTAGTGCTTTAATGGAGACTCTCTTTGAAAAGGTGCGTGAAACAATTCAAAATATAACTCAAAATTTCAAGGAAACCATAAAGCATAGGTCTATTTAAAATGACCAACATGTTGCATAATGTCCAACTTTAATCATTTCATACCTTGCAGATCCAAAACATATCCATCATGGTGAACCAACTGGAATCATATGATAAGAACAACGTTCTTGCAGTGAAACAAGAAATTGCCTCCTTACGGAAATGCTTGGAGGACTGTGAGAAGCACCAAGCTGTTCCACCTGTCCCCTACGGTAAGCACAAAATTATCACAATGTCAGAGAGCTTTTTTAAAAACATTTTAGCCTTTAGTTGAACATAAAACCATGCACCCAAATATTTACACATACATATATAATCACCAGATTTGGAGATTCACTTCAGTCCAAACTGCTATTCATCTAAATTTTGACTGATCAGGTTGTGACAGACCGCCTGCCACCCCAACAGGGTGCTTCCGTCAATTGATGCTCCTAGTGCTCACCAAGTATATCCAGCCATCCACCACACACCATCAGCACTGCAGTCCTCCATTCCAGCGTTACAGCTTGACTGGGGTCTCGCTGTCTTCCACCCACCCTGGACCTAAGACCAGGCTCCAGGTTCCCTCCCCTCTGCCTGAAGCGCTCACAGACTAGGTTTTTTGCCTTCTTTTGGATCAACAGCAAAAACATATGTGAGGAAGGCTGAACTTGATGGACGCAAGTCTCTTTTCGGCTATGTAACTATGAATAAAGTACTGTTAGTAACTCAATTATCTCCAGGCAGAAAAAACGAATTTTCCCCAAAGTACAGAAAACTCCCAAAACACAACATATCCCAGGAAGTCTCTTTTTGACCGGCCGCAAGCATGGCTTTCATACCCAAAATAATTCCAGGGATTTAGGCTGTGCAGCCGGTCTATTTCATATAGTTCAAATCCAGTCAGAATGGTCGAACGGAGCCATTTGTGCGCACAGTCAGTGTGTACAGCTGGTTCGGTAGATCCCTTCTCCCGAACAGCGCTATGTTCGTGTGAGTTTAGCCGAATATAGATGGAGGTGGAAGTCTCAGCTGTGTTTGTGCCATCTAGTGTCCGATTTGAGTTCCATGAACTCGACAACCAAACACCACTGACCTTGTTCGACTAAACAAGATGGCCACCGCCACGTGTTCGGCTATACGAACAGCGACCACCTAGCTGTTCGTCAATTCGCTATGGTTAACCACAGCTCCTGGGTGGTCAACGAGCAGCACACTCCACTTGCGGCTGGTCTGGCTGTTCGACAGTTTGTTCGGTAAACCCCATTTACTGGACGACATAGGGAAAAGGCATGAACAAGCCTGTCTATAGCCCTGGAGCACAGTTTAACACAGGGGCCATAGTCCTGGGTCAAGAGGCTGGCAAACAGGCTCCTCCAAAAACCAGTGGCGAGGTTACTTTCACCACACAGGTGATCGGTCAAATTTCTTGAACTCTGAGCTGAAATGAACCGAATCATGAACCAACTAAGATGCGCGATGATGTTGGTTTCAGTTCGTAATTTTGGATTCCACTTGTGCGGGGGGGGTGTAGGGGGGGGAGATGCAATTGATGGGGAATAAAAAGATTATTTATAGCTAGAGGACAGTCAGGAAATGCTGATTTTAAGCCACAGATCAAGTGAGAAGTGACAACAGAGAGAAAAAAAGAGAAGCAGTAAAAATAGTTTATTTTAAAGGACTACTATAAGCACCCAGACCACTTTAGCTCAATGAAGTGGTCTGCCAGGTCTCTCTAGTTTTAACCCTGCAGCTGAAAACATAGCAGTTTCAAAGAAACTGCTATGTTTCACTGTGGGTTAATCCAGCCTCTAGTGGGTGTCTCACAGCCAATAGAGGCACTTTCACGATTCTCACTGTGAAAATCACAGTGAGAAGACGCTGGACCAGTGGGGGCAATTGCCGGCTAATGCAGGTCTGACATTGTCCAAGTGCCAGCCCTGCAATGTGCTTGCAGACCGGGTAGGGAGATCAGGTATCTCCCTCCTGGTCCGCAGGCACTGTGCTGACAGCTAGCAGGGGAGGGAGTGAGAGAGGAGCTCAGCCTGCAGCTCCTCCGGGTCCTACTCTCGCGAGCATGGAGTGTTGCCGTGGTTACCACAGCAACACTCCAAATCTCGCGAGAGTGAACTCTAGCCCTGGAGCACAAACTGCACACCCATACACACACTGCCCCCATACACACACTGCACACCCATACACACACTGCCCCCCATACACACACTACAGACACTGCCCCCCATACACACACTGCCCCAAACACACACACACAAATCCACCCTCACATACACACTGCACCGCTCATACACACACACACTCTCCCACACATACACTGCACGCTAACACACATTGCAACCCTGACATACACTGCCGCCCTCACGCACTCGCACACACACTTCACCGCTCACACACACACACTGCACCTTTCACACACACTTCACCCCTAACACACACCACTGCTCTTATGCCCTATAACCCAGCAGACCCCAGGTAAGTTGTCAAACTGTTGTTAAATGGTATGACTACTTGGGACTCTGGGATGGGATCCTGGCACTACTGACACCATAACTACTACACTGAGCTGTAGTGGTTATTGTGCCTGGATTATTTCTTTAAATAATCTACAAGTGCCCCTCCCGGGATCAGGCTCTGGATCCGCCATTGCGCTGGACTTCCATAGGAAAGCACTGAGTAGTGCTTTCCTATGTGCGGTTTAAATGCGCACAGCTCTGCCGCGCAAGTGCATTCGGCGATGACGTCCGCAGGGGTAGAGAGTTCCCCAGCACAGAGGGAGCCCAGTGCTGGAGAAAGGTAAGTGGCTGATGGGGGTTCTAAACGAGTTTGTTTTCCTAGCACTATAGTGCTCCTTTAAGTTTTTAATAAATTTATATATATATATATTTTTCTCTTTTTTCCTTTGATCGCTCACCTCCCATTTGATCTGTTAACCAAATGGCAGAAAATGCTTTTATCAGTGTACTGCAATATATCTAAAATATTAGTAGTAGTTCTCTCTCTCTCTCAAAATTTATTTTATTTATTATTGTAACACAGTGATTGGCCCATTTTGTAACCCTTTTATTTATCTGATATCGGTTTCTGAATCAAGTCTTCAGCACCAAAATTCTGCTGCGCCAAATCAATATATGGTTGAATTTACATAAACACACACAACACGAACATGAATAGATTTACCTATCTTCTGGTTTATTGACCTTTTCCCCACAGTTCTTCATACTTCCCAACTCCGCCGTCCCACCTTGGTGGGGGGGTTTAAAGTGATGTGATTGCGTCACAAGCTCTGCCCCCAAAATGTCGAACCAGCCCAAAAAATCCAAAAAATCCATCTGAGATTATGGTAGATAAACTATGAGTGAAATCACATCAGAATACATGTCCATCACACAGGTCAGCCCACTGAGGGCAGGACATGTAGGGAGTACCGTTTCAATGCTCCTGTCTGCAAGATCCTCGTGCCCTGAATGTAGGGCAAGCGAATCTAAGAAAGCGCTCATGCCATGACTGTTGGGGATAGTTCCCTTGTGTCCCCAAAAGCTGGACATCAGTGGCCTAAGGTGGGACAGGACACGAATATCCAGACTGTCCAACCGAAATTGGGATTGTTGGGAGGCGTGGTACATTCATGTTGGTCTGTTTACAAAAACATCTTAGAAGAGAAACCAAGTGTGAGATAGCAGTTTGTGGCTACCATAGAGAATAATCAGAGTCATAAACCGCTACTTAGTAACTGTCTTTAGGCAGCAGCAGTTGTTAATGCTCTGTCGCTACTGGTGAAATCAATAAACAGCTGTACTTACTAACAGTAGTGGTTAACACTTTAGCAAATAGTCAAGCAAACTATGACAACAGGTTCAGTCAATTTTTTTAGAAGTATAATATATATAAATATATAGTTAACCACTTACTACGCTACCAGAATAAAGTATAAACCAAAATTGGCCTTTTTATTCATTTATCTTTTTAACTATTTAACGTGGTGGCTCAATAGTGAGTGCTGGCAGGGGCCACATAATTAAACCTTGCACCACCTAGAGTTTTTTAGCTACTTGCTCATTGACTGTTAACATAGAACAAATTTAGGATTCCCCGAACTAAAATGAATTCTGAAAATCAATTCGGCCAAATCAAATTTTTTTCAAGATGCACAAATCTAGTTAATGCCACCAAGAACAAGTGATGGGAATTAAAAATGTTTTAGTGCAATAAGAGTGTCAAGCTATAATGTCCTCGTTTCCTATTGTATACCACCTTTCTATCTACAGGAACTTGCAAACATGGAGGAATTCAAAACATCAGCAAACCATTTGGGGTACAGCTCAACTATTTAGGATTTGCCTATAAGTTTGGCGGTTGGGGCAAGGATTCAATGTTAGGGGCCGATCAGGATATCCACTGGGTGGCCCCTCTGACTACGGATGGGAGATCCATGAATAGTATACACTTCTACCCTTCATACGACGATCTCCTGCTCTACAAAAAACCTACAGACAAGGTCCTCACTAAACCTATAGCATACAACAATATTGACTACTGCAGCAGTGGACAAGGTGGTGGTGTGATCATGTTTAATGAATCCATGTACTACAACTGCAACAATACTAGGGACCTCTGCAAGTTTAATACAAACACAAACGCTGAGGAGTGTAAAACGCTCACAGATGCCACATTCAACAACCGGTTCTCTTATGCCTCCAATCAGTGGCAAAACATTAACTTGGCTGCCGATGAAGATGGTCTTTGGGTGATTTATTCCACAGAGCAGAATGGAAGAAATATAATTATCAGTAAACTGAATTCAACCTCCATGATAGTAGAGAAGACTTGGACTACCTCCCAAAACAAGCTTGGAGTTACCAACACCTTCATGGTATGCAGTATTCTATATGCAACACGGACTCTTAACACAAGAAGGGAAGAGATCTTCTACATGTATGACACCAAGACAGGTACTGAAGGGAAGCTGAGTATCCCCTTTGACAAGATGATGGAGAACATTCAAAGTCTGTCCTACAACCCCAATGACCACAAACTCTACATGTTTAGTGATGGCTACCTGGCCACTTATGATCTCAACTATAAACCACTTCCATAGACAATCAGATAGAATGACCTCCATAAAGATCAAGTAACTACGGATCCCCGCCAGATTGCCCTAAAAAGCTTTAAACTGAGAGTCTAAACTATATCTCAACATTTCTTTAAATCCCCATCCAGTTCTGTTCTCCTGCATAACACAGCGTCCACAATGAAAATGTAATATTTTTTTATCAATACAGCAGATTAAATAGAAATGCATTATTATTTTGCATAAAAAAGCAACAAAATTAAAATGTTTCTAAAAATTAAAACAGACTCATTATATTTGACCAACTGTAATGTGACTAAAATATTTTAAATCATTAAGACATTTGATGAAATTAAAAATACTTGTGTTCTCGTGACTGGTAGATTAGTGGCAACATTGCTGCTGTTCTGATTTGGTAAGATCTGTCCTGAAACACTGATGGGAATTAATTAAACTTGGTTTGTAAATTGTGAATGTTCTTATATGCCTAACGCTTAGCTGAGTTTCATGGTCGCTTATTCTCCCTATTCTCCTAGTGCTATACGTAGAGTATTCTAACAGAAGGTTCATTCCACGTTGGCTCCTGTCCTGGATGGGAATCCCTGTAGGACACATTGTAACAGATATGAATGAATGAGGTGATGGCACTGTTAAAATGGATAATAAGTATATTACACAACTGCTCCAAACATACACACACTAGCATAGTAAGTAGGTAAAAACCCAAATATCATAAGTCTTGGGTGTGAGTAGGAACAAAGATTGAGGAGAACAAAATCTGGACCTGAGATAACCTGGAACGGGCAAAACATCCTCTCCTTATTAATAATAAAAAGTCTTATAATGTAACCTTCCCTATTACTCAGTATAACCTCTCCAATTACTCCATATAACCCTCCCTATTACCCATCCTATTACTCCATTTAACCCTCCCTATTACTCATCCTATTACTAAATATAACCCTCCCTATAACTCCTCCTATTACTCCATATAACCCTCCCTATTACTCCTCCTATTACTCCATATAACCCTCCCTATAACTCCTGCTATTACTCCATATAACCCTCCCTATAACTCCTCCTGTTACTACATATAACACTCACTATAACTCCTCCTATTACTCCATAAAACTCATGGCTCCAGACGGCACTTTCACAAGGGAGGCATTTTCTCAAATTATAGCACATACTACATACAATACATGCACACTGCATGCACTACACGCACATTATATGCACTACACCTATGCTACATACACTACACAGATTGCATGCACTGCACACACTGCATGCACTATACACACACAATGAATACACTGCACACTGCATACAATATACACAGTACGTGCACTACACAAACACAGACACGGCATCCACTACACACTGCATACACTACTCACACACAATGAATCCACTGCGCACTGCATACACTACACACTGCATGCGCTACACAAACACAGACAATGCATCCAGTGCACAAATACAGGCACTGCATTAACTACACACTGCAACCACTATACACACCGCATCCATTACACACACAATGCGTTCACAACAAACATTGCACACAATACACACAGACACTGCATTCACAAACACACACTGCATCCACCTCCAAGTCTGCCCACAAGGTTGCAGAGTGTTTAGAAAGGAAACAGGGTGTGTGTAATGGATGCAGAGTGTATGTCTAGGCCAGGAATAGGCAACCTTCGGCTCCCCAGATGTTGTGGACTACATCTCCCATGATGCTTTGCCAGCATTATGGCTGTAAGAGCATTATGGGAGATGTAGTCTAAAACATCTGGAGTGCCGAAGGTTGCCTATCCCTGGCCTAGTGGATGCAGTGTGTGTAGCGGATGCAGTGTGTGTGTGTGTAGTGGATGCAGTGTGTGTGTGTAGCGGATGCAGTGTGTGTGTGTCGCGGATGCGGTGTGTGTGTGTGTCGCGGATGCGGTGTGTGTGTGTGTAGTGGATGCGGTGTGTGTGTAGTGGATGCAGTGTGTGTAGCGGATGCAGTGTGTGTGTGTGTAGCGGATGCAGTGTGTGTGTGTAGTGGATGCAGTGGTGTGTGTAGCGGATGCAGTGTGTGTGTGTCGCGGATGCGGTGTGTGTGTGTGTCGCGGATGCGGTGTGTGTGTGTGTAGTGGATGCGGTGTGTGTGTAGTGGATGCAGTGTGTGTAGCGGATGCAGTGTGTGTGTGTGTAGCGGATGCAGTGTGTGTGTGTGAGTGGATGCAGTGTGTGTGTGTGGCGGGGATGTGTGTGTGTAGGTGCAGTGTGTGTGTGTAGCGGATGCAGTGTGTGTGTGGATGCAGTGTGTGTGTGGATGCAGTGTGTGTGTGTAGTGGATGCAGTGTGTGTGTGGCGGATGCAGTGGATGCAGTGCAGTGTGTGTGTCGCGGATGCAGTGTGTGTGTGTGTGTAGCGGATGCAGTGTGTGTGTGTGTGTAGTGGATGCGGTGTGTGTGTAGTGGATGCAGTGTGTGTGTAGCGGATGCAGTGTGTGTGTGTAGTGGATGCAGTGTGTATATATACACAATGTGTGTTTGAATGTAAGCAAATTTTTATATGGAGTATGTGTGTGAATGTTGGTGTTTAAAAACAGGTGTGTATTTGTGTGTAGTGTATACATTTACACACTGATACACATAGTCACACATACTGGTACACATATACACAGGCACACAAATACACAGATAAACACACTGACATAGATACACATACTGACACACTGATAAACAGACATATACACACACAGACAGACACGTTACACATACAGACACACAAAATTACACATAGTTACTCACAGATACACACATAAATATACCCACATTGACACACACACAGATACTCAGACACTAAGATATAAACTGACACAGAATACACACACTGACACGCAGATACACACACAGACATACTGACACACACACATGCAGGCCATTTTGAGCCACCCACCTGTTTTTTACCTTTTGGATGCAGGAGGGTGGCTGGGGCTGTTGGGAGTCGGTCTGGCTCTCCCCTCCCCTCTCTTCCTTCCCGCATTGGTGTAAGCTGACCTGGTTGTGCTGTAAAAGAGCTGCAGCGCCGAATGGGCCACTGAAGACATATGCCCATTGGGTGGCCCTAAGTTCATAGGCCACCCAATGGGTCCTATCAGCGCGCGGGTCCTAGTGCAGCTGAACCGGTGGCAGTTCCGCCATTACACATTGGGAATGTGAGGCACAAGCACCCAGGACTGCCAGGCCCATGACAACAGTCATAGTTGTTTCCCCTGATGGCCCTGACTGCATTCACTATACACACTGCATAACATCGTGGATGTGGCCGTGTAAGGGTGGCCGCGGTTTTGGTGGGCGTTTCATCCATCGACCCAGGCAGCACAATGCAGTTGTAGTGTGTGAGGGATGCAATGTGTGTGAAGGAGTGGTGTAGGGTTTGTGTGAGAGGTGCAGGGTGTGATAGGTGCACTGTGTGAGGGATGCAGTGTGTGAAATGTACAGTGTGTGAGGGGTGCGGTGTTTGTGTGTTTGTAATGGATGCACTGTATGTATAAGGGATATAGTGTGTGTCTGGAAAGTAGTGTTTGTAAGTCGTTGAATCTGTTTAGTGTATATCTGTGATCTAGTGTATAGGTGTGCAGTGTGTGTGAGGAGTGCACATTTATTTATTATTTAATTATTTTAAACTTTACACCCCCCACCCAACCCTTCTTACCTTTGGTCCAGGAGAGTGGGCATTTCTTCCAAGCCCTTGTGGTTTATTCTGGAGTGAACTCTCACGAGATAGGAGAATTGCCATGATAACCACAGCAACGTGAGAGGAAGAACTCTGCTGCTGGCTAGAACCTCCGGGTCTTCTTCCCTCTTCCTCTCCTGACGCAATTTAGTGCCTATGGGCCGGTGAGGGTTGATCTCCCCACCGGCCTGTCATGGATAGTGCTGGCTCTGCATGGTCTGGCAGGAGAGATCTCCGCTGTCGACCTCGACCCATGGCCATCGTTTCACACCAAGCTTTGCCCGGTTTGCCTGATGGCCAGTCAGGGCTTGCATATAACCCTATATATAACCTCCCTATAACCCTCTATAACTCCCCCTATGACTTTCCTATAACTTTTCCTATTACTCATATAACCCTCTATGACTCCTCCTATTACTCTGTATAACTCCTCCTATTATTCTGCATAACCGCCCTATAACTCCTCCAATTACTCTGTATATCTCCTCCTATTATTCTGCATAACCGCCCTATAACTCCTCCTATTACTCTGTATAACTCCTCCTATTATTCTGCATAACCGCCCTATAACTCCTCCTATTACTCTGTATATCTCCTCCTATTATTCTGCATAACCGCCCTATAACTCCTTCTATTACTCTATTTTTCTATGTTTTGATCCATATAAACTTTATACTCTCTGTTATATAATCTCTATTATACTGAATTATTACAGACAGATTTATTTCATTGTGTGGAATGAGTTTATTTCTCAACTAAAAATTATACATGTACAAAATAAAAATTAAACATATAGATTAAAAATGCATTTATTTGACAGTTCAAGCTTTTCTAACAGCAAAGTGTAAAGAAATATATATTTCATTTCATATACAAAAATATGTATATACATTTTTTTTTTTTAAACGTGATTGCACAAATGTCTGGAGCGCTCCGTTGTGTCAGACTGTAAGAGGAATGCTGGAATCTGACCAATCAACTGTACCGTACGCTGACCCCAGCACTCTCAGGGTTAATGTCATTTCTAAAAAAATCAGTCCTCAAAGGACAAGTGTCACAATACTGAAAAAGTCATTTTTCTCAACTTTATTAAAAGTATATTGACCGGCAGCATAGTATGGTCGATATTACACTTTACTATGGCATATAGTCCAGTTCATGTCAATAGACAGTGTGTTGTCATTTTGTACCGTGATGCAAATAGGAGAAAATATAGTCAAATCCACGGCCTTTGCCCGGATGAAATGTTGACTCCGTGTTAACGTTATTTGTATTGATGGTTAACAGAAATAAAGAGAGATCGAGCTGCTGTATAATGAAACAGGCGTCTTCAGGATCATCGCACTTCGCAGCTTTTTAATGATTAATGAATCTCCACTTTTATACAAAAAAACATGCAGGAAATCGCTAAAACAGCATGGCAGTGAGTGTAAACAAAATAGTAGCATGGAAAATATATGGAAATGCACATCAAGTGGTTACAGGGCACTTGCAGCATGGTCACTTCCAAATATGAGATAGCAGCGCAATCAGCTGGGAACTCTATGACACACTGCACAGGCAGTCCCTCCCACTGCAGGATGACACAGACTGAGGGAGCTATGGGACACAGAGTCTGTCCCTCCCACTGCAGGGTGACAGAAGGAGCTATGGGACACAGATTTTGTCCCTCCCACTGCAGGGTGACACAGACAGAAGAAGCTATGGGACACGGAGTCTGTCCCTCCCACTGCAGGGTGACACAGACAGAAGGAGTTATGGGACACGGAGTCTGTCCCTCCCACTGCAGGGTGACACCGACAGAAGGAGCTATGGGACACAGTCTGTCCCTCCCACTGTAGGGTGACACAGACAGAAGGAGCTATGGGACACAGAGTCTGTCCCTCCCACTGCAGGGTGACACAGATAGAAGGAGCTATGGGACACGGAGTCTGTCCCTCCCACTGCAGGGTGAACAGACAGAAGGAGCTATGGGACACTGAGTCTGTCCCTCCCACTGCAGGGTGACACCGACAGAAGGAGCTATGGGACACAGAGGTTAACCCTCGAACTGCAGGGAACTATATTTTAGGGAGCTGTAAATACAATACTGGGCAAATGTGCATTGTCTCTCTGGAACATACTGAAAGATGTAAATATAGTTTATTATGGAATATGCACCAAAATGATCTTTGTTCTAGAAGCCAAAGTTAAATCAATGCTGGATTGTATAAGCTGCTCCTATAGTATCTAGTTAGACCTAGTTTGCTCTCATATCTTCCAGACCAGCACCAGTCATCATAATGTGGACCACGAGGCTCCTCATCTTACGTTCTAGAAAAACCTACTAGGACCATTAGATCTATTTGCCCCAGAGCAAGCTCGAAACAAGTCCCTGCCACTAGGCAAGATTCTGATTCTAATTAATGGATTACGGAATTCACAATTTTGCCGCTGGTTTCATTACAAACAGTTCTTGTACCTACTTGAGAATTGTCCACTGGAAGTAGTGCCAGTACCAGTAAAGTACGTTGCCTGATATCCGTGCTGTATCACAGGTGGATAGCTGTTTTTATTCATACATATTCTATTACTGTGGGGGCTCTTGGAGACATGTCTTCAAAGCAAGCAAGAATGAGAACCATCAGTATGATAGACACATTGTAAAAATAGTCATTATATTGTCTTCAAATGTACCAGGAATAGTTGTCTAGGACTTTGAAAAGGTAGCATTCTCCAGAAGGTTAGAAGGTCATGTATATGTACTAACACCAGACTTAGATTTCAGAATGCATAAAGATGACTCCTTAAGCACAACTTGCTTTGAGTTCATGTCTAATATCCTTGGTTCACCTCTTCAATAGTCCCTTCTTCCAAGTACAGTGGATGGTCCGTGGATGCTGAGAGTCCCATAAGTCGTGTGGTTTCACGGGCTGGACACATGACATAGCGGTTAGCATTCTCTGAGTGGTGTACTTCGGCTGTAATTGAACTGGTCTTCATAAAAATGTCATCCCCTAGATCCTTTGCATCTAAACCACCGACTGCTCCCAATTCACCATCATCATTAGATGAAGGCATGCTAGGATCTTCCATGTTTACGTACAGAATCTCCTCGGGATCCTTGGCTGGTGGAAGGTTCTTGAGGAGTTTTTCCAGCTCCCCATGGAGTATCTCAAAAGATGGCCTGTCCTTAGAATTAAGTTGCCAACAGCTGGACATCAGCTCATACCTGAGAGAGGACAAAAGCATCTTTCAATGCAATGCTTTATAAAGTCAAACTCTGTACAATGTTAAACAGACAACGTGTAAGATAATAAGGCTCACTGATAAACAAGGCTTATGTGGCTGAGCCTAAGAGCTTTCAGCTTTGATTACTATCTTGATTTTGGCATTTATAGAAACATGATTTCAGACTCACAGTCCATCGAGGCAGTCTGGGGGTTGCTTCAAGCGGTTCCCTTGCCTCAAATAATCGTAAATTTCGCTGTTCTCCACACCAGGGTATGGTGTCTGGCCTCGTGTAGCAATCTCCCACATGGTGACACCAAATGACCACTAAGACAAGTAGGAAGTGAAAAGTTATAAATTGTTTTCTTGTCATTATCTCATACACTTTGCTCCTCTATGGAATCTTTAACCGATTTATGTCACTACCATTAGGCGACTTTACTAAAACTCAGGACTGTCCCTTTAACTGATTACATATCTCACTATCATTAGGTCACTTTACTGAAACTTGGAACTGTCCATTTAACTAATTAAAGATGCTACTTTTCTCTTTCACAGGACTGTTCCTTTAATTACATGGGACTGTACCCTAAGCATATCACTGTAATGAGATCATTTTGCTCATCCATGGGACTGTTTTTATAATTGAGTAAACGTGTCCCTGTCATTACATCACTTTACTGAAGCACTGGACTTAACTCTTTAAACATATGGCTATTGTCTGGTAAATGTCTCTCACCACATCACTTTTGGTAGTGTAGACTCTGTCAGCCAGACTCTCTATTGCTATCCATTTCACTGGCATTTTTGCAATCCGACCTTGGCGATAGTAATCTCCATTGTAGATTTTCTTGGACAGACCAAAATCTGCCACGCATACATTCATATTCTCATTCAACCTGGTGGGATGATCATCATGTGAGAGAAAGAAAGTGACCACTGAATGACAGATCAATGCAATTAAGTGGTTCAGATGGTTCTAAGGCAACCGTACAGAAGGCAAGAGTAAGAAATGAAGCCCATTCTGAAAAGGAAAAATTTAAGCAAGACATGGTGGGGCATAAAATTGAGAATAAAACTGAGGGAAACACAGAAAAAACAAGATACTAATGAAAAAAAGCTAATATAAAAGGAACACGTGTTTAATAACAGGAGGAGATGAGGAGAATGAGTGAGACTTGTATTAAGATCTGAGTGATGCAAAATGGGTCAGAGACAAGGAGTAATAGGTGAAGGTGAAAGAGAGTGAATGAAGAATAAAGTGATAAAGTAACAACAAATGACAGAAAAAACGAGGAGGCAAAGCAGACCTGGTTCATTTACTTTAATTTCTGAGAAACTTACATGCAGTTTCTGGCCGCCAGGTCTCTGTGGATGAAATTCTTACTGCTGAGATAGTCCATACCACTAGCAACATCGACCATGAATTTTACCAGTGTTTGAGTGGGAAGAAACTGGGTACAGAGAAGAAAGATTGTCACATGAAACCATAAACCCGTATTACTCCTCTACCAGAATCCTTACCGTGAACCCTTATTATTACTCTAGGAGAACCCTTACTATAAACCCTTTTTATTCCTCTACCACAGGGGTTCTCAACCCAGTCCTCGGGACCCCCTACCAGTCAAGGATTTGGGGATTATCTGGGTGTGTCTAAGGTGTTTAGAAAAAGGGGGGAAAAAAACACCTTAGACTCTAAGGTTTTTTTTTTCTTTTTCTAAACACCTTAGACACACCCAGGTAATCCCTAAACCCTGGACTGGTAGGGGGTCCTTGAGGACAAGGTTGAGAACCCCTGGCTCTACCAGAACCCTTACCGTAAACCCTTATTATTCCTCTATGTCTACAAGAACCCTTACCGTAAACCCTTATTATTCCTCTAGGAGAACCCTTACCATGAACCCTTATTATTCCTGTAGAAAAGGGGTTCTCAACCCAGTCCTCAACTACCCCCTACCAGTCCAAGATTTAGGAATTACCCTGTGGTGACTAAAGTGTTTTTTTTTCCTTTTCTAAAAACACCTTAGACACAACTGGGTAATCCCTAAATCCTGGACTGGGTTGGGAACCACTGTTCTAGAAGAACGCTTACTATAAAGGAGATTGGGTTAGAAGGTTGCTCTACTAAGGACAGAACAAATTAAGAAGGTGGGGACTAGTTAGGTGTCCAGAATTCAAAATGGCTGACAGCATAAAATAAAATCGTACAGTAATGGGTACTCACAGCAGACGGGATTTCTCCCAGTCGTGAATAGAGAAGGAAGCTGTGCAGATCTCCATGTTTCATAAAGGGTAAAATAACCACTGGAGAAGGGTACCCCTCATTCTCTGTATTCTGCAGACACACCCCTGCAATATGGGGAACAATGAGAAAGCACAGTTTGAAAGGGCTCAGCCCAAGCAGGTGATTGTTCTCCTTCATATTATTCCTTTCAATTAATTGAATTGTCAGGTATGTGACAAGGGATTAATTCACTAAACAACGAGTCGTGGATAACAGATAGCTGGCTTACAAAATTCAAGCTAAAATAGTCCAAATAGGAAAAGGTTGCATCTCAGATGTCTTTTAACGTCTTTCAAATTGTCTAATGGTACCTAAAGTTATCTTTTCAGTTCACTTGGCATCACTTGATGCTTAGTTAATAAGAAACTTACAGTACTTTCATTGTTAGTGCAAGTGTTAATTGCTATTGAGTCCATCAGGGATGTTTTATGATAAATAAAGAGCCACTATAGCATTAGAAATACAAGCCTGAATTCTTAAAGCTATAGCCCTTCTGTCTCCGTCCTCCCGTCATTCACAGTGTAAAATCTAAGACAAAATATGATTTTACACACCTTTTCATCAGCAGCAGTGCCACCTCCAGTGTGCTAGTCCAATCCGGTGTATCTCATAAAGGAGCAATGGGGGAGTAGGAGCATGCGCAGCACTCTGATGTATCTGCCAATCAGAATCTTGTCAGAGAGAAGATTCAGAGGGCTCGGGGATGGCTTGAAGCTGCCTTTTCAAGCCTTAAATCTATTAAAATACTCGGGGGGGGGAGGAGGGGGGAGACATATGATTATTGTACTATAACAACTTCAATAAGATTAAGTGGTTATAGTGCCCACAGTGCTCCTTTAAGGCAGTATAAATGATTAAGGCTGGCTGATATACCATTTAAAGGGTTAATGGCATTCTGATTGTCATAACTTTAAGATTTCTGGTGTAAACTGCAAAAACAGTTCCACCCAAAATCAGATGGCTATTGCTTAATGTCTCATTACCAAAGAGTTGAAATGTACCACTCGGAAGTGCTTGCTGCATAAAATAATTGTTCCACCATTTAGCCACTAGATGGCAGCGCAGTACAAGAAATCTGGGCATGTAGGACAGTAACTACAGAAACAAGGCTGTTTTTCAATACATTTATTTTCTGATTTGCAACATTTCATGACAGCCTCCCACTTCATCAGACCTTCTCAACTGCATAAGAAAACGCAGCTTAACCCCTCCACTACCAACAACGTGTATACAGTCTGGCTTTGCTTTGCACTGAAATGTAAAATAAAAATAAATACATACACATTCTAATTGTATTGCTGAACATGTGTTGATTTAACTCACCGATCAGGCGCATTACGTTAGGATGGTCAAACTCTTTCATGCAGACAGCTTCGCTCAGGAAGTCTTCCATCTCAGTGCGGGTGCAGATAGCAACTGAACGAGAAAAAGAGGAATCTGGGATATGTACAATAACTGGTGGGAATGTTACTTAAACCCCAGACAGAAGGAGCTATGGGACACGGAGTCTGTCCCTCCCACTGCAGGGTGACACAGACAGAAGACACAGACAGAAGGAGCTATGGGACACGGAGTCTGTCCCTCCCACTGCAGGGTGACACAGACAGAAGGAGCTATGGGACACGGAGTCTGTCCCTCCCACTGCAGGGTGACACAGACAGAAGGAGCTATGGGACACGGAGTCTGTCCCTCCCACTGCAGGGTGACACAGACAGAAGGAGCTATGGGACACAGAGTCTGTCCCTCCCACTGCAGGGTGACACAGACAGAAGGAGCTATGGGACACAGAGTCTGTCCCTCCCACTGCAGGGTGACACAGACAGAAGGAGCTATGGGACACGGAGTCTGTCCCTCCCACTGCAGGGTGACACAGACAGAAGGAGCTATGGGACACGGAGTCTGTCCCTCCCACTGCAGGGTGACACAGACAGAAGGAGCTATGGGACACAGAGTCTGTCCCTCCCACTGCAGGGTGACACAGACAGAAGGAGCTATGGGACACGGAGTCTGTCCCTCCCACTGCAGGGTGACACAGACAGAAGGAGCTATGGGACACGGAGTCTGTCCCTCCCACTGCAGGGTGACACAGACAGGAGCTTATGGGACACAGAGTCTCTCCCTCCCACTGCAGGGTGACACAGACAGAAGGAGCTATGGGACACGGAGTCTGTCCCTCCCACTGCAGGGTGACACAGACAGAAGGAGCTATGGGACACGGAGTCTGTCCCTCCCACTGCAGGGTGACACAGACAGAAGGAGCTATGGGACACGGAGTCTGTCCCTCCCACTGCAGGGTGACACAGACAGAAGGAGCTATGGGACACGGAGTCTGTCCCTCCCACTGCAGGGTGACACAGACAGAAGGAGATATGGGACACGGAGTCTGTCCCTCCCACTGCAGGGTGACACAGACAGAAGGGAGCTATGGGACATGCAGGTTTCCTCGCATCATGACTTACTCTTCATTGTCTTTACAGCCACCTTGAGAATGTACTCATCCTGGTTTAATTGACCTTCCATGACCGAGCCAAATTCCCCTGTAGCGTGAAATGAGATTGTTATTAGAGATTACAGGGTCACATAATGAACCAGTTATAACAAGTTATGCTGAAGCAAGAGCATTTAAATAAATGAAGGAATCCTATCACACGGTGTAGATTGTACAGGTTGGTATTTGCCATAGTCTCATGAGAATATTAGTATTTGTAGTTGTTTGAGTGGAGTGCTGAGGTTTGCAGTGGTCAGGTGAGAGTAAGATCCCAATGTAAAGCACTACAGAATTTGCTGTATAAATAATAAAATAATTGTTTTGTAGTGCCGGGATTTGTAGTGGTTTTGGAGTGCTGGGATTTGCAGTGGTTTTGGAGTGATGAGATTTGTAGTGGTTTTGGAGTGCTGGGATTTCCAGTGGTTTTGGAGTGATGAGATTTGCAGTGATTTTGGAGTGTTGAGATTTGCAGTGATTTTGGAGTGCTGGGATTTGCAGTCACAATGTTACAGTTCCATAGTGAGCGACAGGCCGGCCTGCTTTTTCGTTTCTCCCCAATTTGTCTTGTTTCCTGTTTTTACTTTGAGCTAATGAACATAGCGCGTCCCTGCTGAGATCACATCCACACTAGAAGAGTTATTTACTAAATTGACAATCTGAGACCTTTCTAATTTGTTTTGGGAGTTGCAGTGGTTGTGTGAGCATGCTGGGAGTTGCAGTGGTTGAGTAAGCATGCTGGGAGTTGCAGTGGTTATGTAAACATGCTGGGAGTTGCAGTGGTTGGGAATTCCTGCTGGTAGTTGCAAGGGTTGTGTGAGCATGCTGGGAGTTGCAGTGGTTGAGTGAGCATGGTGGGAGTTGCAGTGGTTGTGTGAGCATGCTGGGAGTTGCAGTGGTTATGTAAACATGCTGGGAGTTGCAGTGATTGTGTGAGCATACTGGGAGTTGCAGTGGTTGCCAGTGGTTGTGTGAGCATGCTGGGAGTTGCAGTGGTTGTGAATTCCTGCTAGGAGTTGCAGTGGTTGTGTGAGCATGCTGGGAGTTGCAGTGGCTGAGTGAGCATGCTGGGAGTGCAAGGGTTGTGTGTGAGCATGCTGGGAGTTGCAGTGGTTGTGAATTCTGCTGGGAGTTGCAGTGGTTGTGTGAGCATGCTGGGAGTTGCAGTGGTTATGAGCATGCTGGGAGTTGCAGTGGCTGTGAATTCCCGCTGGGAGTTGCAGTGGTTGTGTGAGCATGCTGGGAGTTGCAGTGGTTGTGAATTCCTGCTGGGAGTTGCAGTGGTTGCGTGAGCATGCTGGGAGTTGCAGTGGTTGGGAATTCCTGCTGGGAGTTGCAGTGGTTGTGTGAGCATGCTGGGAGTTGCAGTGGTTGGGAATTCCTGCTGGGACCGATAGAGGGACTTTAATGTTTGTTGGCTGTGAATGTGTTAACGGGCCTGTATAACATCCTGGCAGGAACGAGTCTGGCAGTTTTGGCTGAGTTCAGCCTCCCAGGAGGTGTTAGAGGAAGCCATTAGACCAACGACTGATTTTTGATTGCTTTTCCAGAGCGTGTAGGATAAGACAGAGAACGGAAGTGGGTTCCACGAGACAGGAGCTTCAGGGTCTTATGGAAAAATCTCCCACTTTGGAAAACATGTCAGCTTTCAGCTGCTAACGATCTTACATGTGTGTTGGTGTAATGCTTTCTAAACTTGGGATCACGTAGGATCATTTCACAGGCAGCAGGAATCATTCCATGCTGTTACACCTGGGAACTTGAATCTATCAATCGTTGGTTCAGTAGAGCTGGCAGCAGATCTTATCCACATAAAACACTTGCAGATATAAACTTGCAACAAAGTTTTTATGACAGAACTTCACGATACAGAATGTGCCAATCTCATGGTCCATAAAATGCCCACATGCCAAGGTAATGACCTGTACCCTGGCACACATGTTACCAATGTACCCAGCCATGAAATGCCAAAATATCTGTAACTAATAAAGTTCTTACAACTTCAAAGGACCACAAGCAACGGTACGGCACCAATATTGATTGCATCCCTTAAAACAAAATCCTACATTAATTTACTAAAATACCAAGTCCCTGCCTCCACTCTCCGTGTAAATATATGAGGCACGAGGGTGCTTTCACTTTATTTTCACTGTAAAATAAGAATGATAACAGAATGATAGAAAATCACCAATAATTACAACCCACCTTCTCCCAACGTCTTGCCAAGAGCCAGCTTGTGCCTATCCACCATAACATCCCGCAGCTTTTCCTTAAGGTCATCACTGATGCCCAGTCTGTTTACTGGTGGGGAAACAATGAGTTAATCCTGGTACTGAAAGCAATGACAGAGTGAGTGTGGTTAAAACATGCTAAAACTGAGTATTAGAAAAAGGCCATTTTCCTCTAAATAGTAGAAATCTCAGCTAAGGTAATCGAAAAACTGGACAGCCTTCTGGAAGACATGACGTAGAACTGATAAAGGAACGAGAGTCTTCCCAAATCCCCCTAAACTTTGAAAGAGGCCTCTGGTTATCGGGAAGCTGAACCCAGTCCTATTAACACCCAGCACACGTCTGTAGACTGCCCTGTCGATGCTGTAATAGGGTGGAGGGGACCACTGGGAAGGAGTGTGTTTGGGACTATGTCATGCTTTGGATCACGATGGTGACACAGCACAAAGAAAAATATACGAGCAATCTTTTCCTGGCGATTGGCCAAAGTACGAAGAGTTCCCTGTGGTTCTCCGAGCACAACTATAATCCCTCACAAACTACTAGTTCCCTTACACGGTAGGGCAGGGAATATTAATTTTGATAAAGAATTCCCACAATAAAATAAGAAGATATATCTTGACCACAGGAAGATAAATATGCGGTAAATTTTAAACAAGTCTGTATGATGCCCTATGCTCTTTGTAGAGAGTAAATCCGAACAGTTACATGGTTTTGGGGTTCTCCCTATGGCTTCATCCTGGGTGCCTGATGGCTTTCTTGGAGAGGGGAAAATTAGTAGACTGGAGCGTTGTAACCTGTGATGTGTCTGCTGAGATAGTTCTGTAGCATGGCAACGTTGTTTATCTTACATGTGGCCTCTGTGGTCCTTCGACTGTAAGACTTCTTCACTCGATAACGGACGACAAGTTCGCCTTGTTCAACTGTTGGCTCAAAAGCTTCCCTGAAACCACAAATATACATCTATTTATCATCATCAAAACATGCTTTTCCCACAATCTCCAGTATCCAAGACTCACCCATAACGTGTTTCCTTCTTTCTGAGACGTGCCAAAAAGAGGACAACTAATATGGTAGACAAAAATGCAACAGCAATGGCCAAGACCACATACCACCAGTGCCCAGAAAAGGTGGGGGCATAATCTGTGACAGCTGAGGAAATAAAACACATTTCAATCAAGGTGGTGTGCACGACTGGCATATAAACTACAATGAGAAATCGCAACATTGTTTATGTGACTTGTGTCTTTAAGCATGATACATTTCCCAAATGGTATGGAAGAAGCTGCAAGGTCACAGGTCTCATCAGCACAGAGTTCTTGACAATGACTGCTGCTGAGATACAGGCTTAAAGTCTCAGACACAAATCACTTGTTCCTAATGTCTGTATGGAAGGACTTGGAAGTCCTGTCTAAGCCCAAATGTCCCACTGGGCCATTTTTTAATCCCTTGATGTTAACCCATTTCCCATCTCATGTGTGCTGTACACCTCTTGGCTGTCAATCACAACCGTTCCTGTTACTTCCTGGTTAGTTTAGCTCATTGCAGCTGACCTCAAAAGGCAACAATTGTCCAGAGCACCTGGCTTACAAACACTTCTCATTAAGCTGCATTGGGAAGTCTGTAATTGGACCGCAAGTCTGGGCGTGGTTAGAAGGGGAGGGCTTACCAAGGCTGCAGACAAGAGATCTGCATATTTATCACGCTGTTTTTCCATATATCCCCAATGAAAAAGATGCATAATCAAATAATTTGTGGTTGCATATACACTAAACAGTGATTTTAATTATTTTATTTATTTGGGCAGTGGAGTGTCCCTTTACGTCTAAAATAAATTAAATGCCTTAAGCAATCTATATCCCAATAAAATGTAGAATTGCAAATCTAACCTTCTTTACCTTCAATAAAAAGACCTATGGATCCATCTGAAAAGACAAGAAATGAGTTCAATGACTGATAAAATGCGACAGAAAAAAAAAAACAGACTGAGATAACACCAGACAAGGAAAAGTGTCTACCATAGGTCCTCCGAGATTCAACCACGGGCTCACTCCATGGCCCATCACCAGCGATAGTGTAAGCTGCGACCTTAACAGTCAGGTTATTGACTGGATAGACCATCTCCAACGTTATTTCATTATTTAGACCAGCATCAGCTACCACCTGCAACATAAAAACATTGTATCAACTACTTAGATTGTTACCAGGCTTTAGTAACCCCCCATCACATGATACCCCCCAGTATAGGTATAGGGCGAACAGTTACACTCATTACCTTTCTTCTCTAATTCACAAATGTACCCCGTCTCACTCCCTTTGCTCTACGAGAGACCTTATTTTGTCGATGTTCCCACATTGCTAATACTCATACATAGAAATTCTTGAAGCCCACATCTATCAGAGGAATTCCCTACCCCAGTCTATTAGACTGTCCCGAGAATCCAGTCCTTTAAGAAGTCACAGAAAACCAATTTATTTAGGAAACATTACCATCTTCCTGTGTGACTCTTCTCTCGTTATATTATCCCTCCCGTCCTTCCACCAGTCAGCCGTGTTTCCGTAGCCCATTACACTCTCTCTCGCTCTATTCTATGGTTCGTCCACACAGAGGTTTTACCAGTTTAACCACACACAAACATTATATTATTTACTAATCTATCAAGCTCTCGTTCCATCCAACATTTTATTCTTCTTCCTTTGACAATTCCTCCTGGAGTGTTAGCTTATCTGAATAGGATCTTCTTCACCTCTAGCGTCTGACAACATTACATTATTTCTGTCTGTTAACTACTGGTTGATAAATAACTCCATTGTGTAAGTGTAAAGCATTACAGAAAACATTGACAAATAAATGCAAATATTAATAATAAAACTCCACTACACACACTACAAGACCATGGCATTTATACACAACATAGGCATAGTATAGCAACCGCCAATCAAACACTATACACCACGCCACATATACACTACTACACCACGCCATGTATACACTACTACACCACGTATACACTACTACACCACACCATGTATAAGCTACTGCACCACGCCACGTATATACTACTACACCATGTCATGTGTACACTACTACACCACGCTATGTATACCTACCACACATGTATACACTACTGCACCACGCCACTTTTACACTACTGCACCAAGCTGTGTATGCCTATTACACCACGCTGTGTATACACTACTACACCACGCCATGTACACTACACCATGCCATGTATATCTACTGCACCACACCATGTATAAACTACTACACAATGCCATGTATACCTACTACACCATGCCACGTATACCTACTACACCACGCCATGTACACTACTACACCACAGCACATATACGCTACTACACCATGCCAGGTATACACTACTACATCACGCCATGCATACCTACTCCACCATACCACATATACAGTACTATGCCACGTTTATACTACTACACCACACAATGTATGCCTACTACACCAGTACGCCATGTATACACTACTACACCACGCCACGTATACCTACTACACCACGCCATGTATACCTACTGCACCACGCCACGTATAAACCACTTCACCATGCCACGTATATACTACTACACTACGCCACGTATACACTACTACACCACGCCACATATACCTACTACACCACGCCATGTATACACTACTACACCACGCCATGTATACCTACTACACCACACCATGCATACACTACTACACCACGCCACGTATATACTACTACACCATGTTTACCTACTGCACCACGCCATGTATACACTACTACACCATGCCACGTATACCTACTACACCATGCCATGAATACACTACTACACCATGCCATGTATACCTACTACACCACACCATGCATACACTACTACACCACGCCACGTATATACTACTACACCATATATACCTACTGCACCACGCCACGTATACACTACTACACCACGCCACGTATACCTACTACACCACGCCATGTATACACTACTACACCACGCCATGTATACCTACTGCACCACACCATGTATACACTACTACACCACGCCATGTATACACTACTACACCACGCAATGTATACACTACTACACCATGCCATGTATACACTACTACACCACGCCATGTATACACTACTACACCACGCCACGTATACCTTTTACACTATGCCAGATATACACTGCTACACCATGCAATGTATACACAGCATATTTATCTATTCTACCTCGGCTTCATCCTTGGTTTGATACGCCAGTTTGTAACCCCGCAGTACACCATTGATCAAGGCCTTGGGTTCTCCCCATGTCACAATAGTGACTGTCCCATTCCGGATCGCAGTTACGTTTTCAGGAGGCCCAGAAGGAACTTGTGGAAGACAGAAAAAAAAAATCATGTGGTTTATAAACCTGAGATAAATAGAGGAACTCTGTGTATTAGCACATTAAAGCGAGGCTCATATCATACATCACAGAAATACGGGAACTCTATCAATGGACGCGAATACTATTACGCCTATCTGCCTCAATATATTATATGTGGGATATGTGCCCATTACATGGGACTGAATTATATTTTCTAAATATAGGCGTATATTTTCCGGCTCCTGATAAGCATTTACCGATCCTAATTAAATCTATCCAAAGCGTTAAATGACTTATCGGGGGCCGAAAAATAGAAGACTGATCGGGAAATGGACAGACAGACAAGGAGTGGGAGAGTGACAGGGATGTGGACAGACAGACTGACAGAGTGGGGAGTGACTAAAAAAGGAAGGAGACATACAGTGAGATGTACAGAGAGGAACGTGGAATTAAAAGAATGCTAGCTATGTAGGCAAGCCACATTTCCTGTCTGTCCTGATCCGTTCTGGCTTCTAAAGTTTGCATTTGGTAAATATTCTGCTAAATAGTTTTTTAATTGCATGAGAAGTTAAACAAAAAAATATCTCAGTATTTTGTCTCCAGGACTAACCCAACACTGATTTAATAATCATCTCTCTTTCCATGTGTGGAGCCACTCACCACATACAAGGAGATCTTCTGGGGAATTGGAGGGCAAGTCGACCTCGTTTTAAACTATAATAACACAAAATCATATTAAAGTAAAATGTAATCTTTCTGACCCCAGGAGGTCTTATTAACAAGGATGGGTAAGTATCTCCTGCATGGATGGTCACTGACCCTAGGGGCACTACTTTTGAGTGCCATATATGGGTTGGTAGGTCTAGGTAACTAGGTTGGTGGAGGCAGGGTTGCCATCAGGGCATGACAGAACATGTTGCGTTCAGGGGTCCTGCCTAGCATTGGGGCCCGCATGCGGTCCTTTAAGACAATACTGAGCTTATGGCTGCATCACTATCATTATCACTAGATCCCAAGGATGACACTCTCAATACTGCAATAAGACAAGAAAACAATAGCTGTCTAGAAATACGGACGTATATGTCTGTTAGAAAAACCTTACACAGAGCTGTAACTGTTACCCATGTAGTGTACGTCTGGAAATGTGTGTGTGTCTCTGTCAGTGTTATGTGTGCCCATATCTGGGAGTGTGTGCCAGGCAGTCCCACTAAATAGTCCAGTAAGGGGCTCCACGATTTCAGACGGCAGCCCAGGGTAGGGGTAAGTGAACAGGGAGGTGGAGGATTGGCATGATTAGGTGGGCAATTGTGATTGGGTTCTTCATATATGTAACTATTCAGACAAACCAAAAGTGGGCAAAAACAGGCCTATCAGTGTACTGCATATTATATACATATATATAATTTTTTTATTATAAATAATTATTTATGTTTTAGTTTTTTCTACACAGTACAAGAATGATGGAAGAGACAAGTTACCTTCAATATGCATAAGATTAACAGTTTGATAAAATGTTAATGTATAAGATAAATGATTCTCCAAGTTCGATTCTTTCTTTGATACAAACCCTTATATTCCATGCATACAGCATTCATACACGACTAAGTTATACGTTGAACGATTAGAACCCCAAGCAAGTGGAGTAAGGATTGAGGAAAAGGTTCATGTTTTATTTGAATGTCTTATCTGACCAATAGAAACGTAGCATCCACGTTCCATAGAACATTTGTAATCCATTTGATTGATTATTTCAGACCAATTTATTTCAGAAGGAATTTTCTAATTCCTAGCTACGCAGATTTTTACAACAAATAAAGTATGAACGATTAGTTCCCTATGGTTCTTATGTACACCGAGAGCTTTAGATTTAACATGGATGTTTGGGGAGAGATATGATTAATAGGATTAAAGATATTATTTAGTAATAATACAAGATGTTCCTTTAATTTACTCAAGAGTGTGCATTCCCACCAGATATGGTACATGAGACCCTTAGCTATCGAGCATCGCCAACATATGTCTGGAAGCAATCTCGATACTTTAATCTTGTATCAATAGTAGAACAGTTTACAGTTACACAATGAATATTCTTTCTAATCAGATGTATACTCTCCTGCCATTGTTTAATCGAAAAGGTTTTATCAAAATATTTATCCCATTTGATAAATGCTAGCAATGTATCCTATTGAACTATGTCATTAAGAATTTCTGATATCTTAGAGTTTTGTCTACTTCCCACAGGACAGGCCATCGTATCTAAGATCTGGTGAGATTCTAATATCTGTTTTTTAGTTACGTAATTTTTCACTCTCAAATATGCAAATAATTATCTAAGGTAGACCTTATGTCTGTTGCAATGTGGAAAATGATAACAAATTACCTTGTTCCCAAATATCAGATAAAGTGCCCATTATGCACGTTGACCAGTTTGGAGAATTTAGTTCTTTTATCTCATATGTGAATATTTCAGGCAGAGTATTAATCAATAAAAAACCTGTAACTTAATTTTTTTCTTCAAATTATTATAAGTAACTAAAATATTGTGTGTAGCGTGGCCGAGGGAACTGCAGTCTGAATGATACACATGGAGGGGCGGTATACAAATAATACAAATATAAAACAAATACCAAAGTGTACACCAGAAATGTTACCCTTTAGGATAAAATGTTGAGATTGTAAGAAGATTCCTCCTATCTTTTGTATGAATATATTAAAGGGATCCTATAGTGTCAGGAAAACAAAGCCGTTTTCCTGGCACTATCGGGTAAACAAGCCCCCCCTCCCGCAGCGCTAAAGGGGTTAGAACCCCTTCAGTCACTTACCTGAATCCAGCGCTAATGTCCCTCGGCGCTGGGTCAGGCTACGCTCACGCTCCTCCCCTGCCGATGTCACACGCGCAATAGACATCCCCATAGGAAAGCATTATCCATGAGGACATCCAGCGTCAGATAATGGACCAAAAGTCGGTTTAGATTTTGAAGCCCTCTAGTGGCCAGAGTGGCCACAGGTGGCAGACTTGCAGCTGCAATGTAAACATTGCAATTTCTCTAGAACTGCAATGTTTTCCATTGCAACACTAAGTGCAATAGGGTCACAACACCCAGACTACTTCAATTAGCTCAAGTGGTCTGGGTGCCTACAGTGTCCCTTTAAATATACAATCTATAAACAAAAAAAGTATAATAGTGTAGTATTGAGAGGATAAGAGAGAAGAACAGAAGGCTTCATCTTTTTAAACATACCTTTATGTGTCTGTAACACATTTTAATCCTGTGAGTGCAATATTATCACCAATGTTTTATGGAGTTTTACAATATTACACTATTATACTTTTTTCGTTTATAGATTGTGTATTTAATACATGGGGCTGGGAAGAATGGAACACATGGAGGGGCTGGCGGGAGGGAATGGAAAACATGGAGGGGATGGGACAGGGAATGAGACACGTGGAGGGGCTCGCTGGGAATGAGACACATAGAGGGGCTGGGGGAGCGAATGATACACATGGAGGGGATGCTGCGGGTATAATACACAAGTAGGGGCTGGGAGGAGTAAATGATACACATGAAGGGGCTGGGGGAGGGAATGAGATACATGGAGGGGCTGGGGGATGAGGAAATAAGACACATGGAGGTGCTGAGGGGAAGAGAATGATACACATGGAGGGGCTGGCTGGGATTGAGACACATGGAGGGGCTGTGGAGGAGATGAAACACTTGGAGAGGCGGAGGGGGAATGAGTCACATGGGAGGGCCCAGGGCAATTTTCACACCAGGCTTTCTAGTTACACCTCTGATGCCTAGTTGCTCTGCACCCCCATGCACCCCTTTTTCTCACCCCTTGCACCTCTTGAATTTATTCCTCATCTCCTGTATTCATCACGCATATGAACATGTTGGCAACCATTATAGAATTTACTTTTCCTTCCTCTGTAAGTCACAGGAGTTGCGCTCCCGTACTTCACCATGGAGGCATTGCCAATGCTCCGAATATTTACCGTTTGTAGCTGTGGCGAAAGTAACCTCGCCACTTGTACTTGGAGAGGCCTGCATGCCAGCCTCCTGCCCACAGACTATGGGCCCTGCAGGGAAACCTGTAAAAGACTACCGAACTTGACTGACTGTTAGCACTGATTTCCCTGGACCTGTTTTGGGCATAGGACCATGTGCACGGTCTGTCAAAATTATGACTTCCAGGAAATTCCTGAACCCCTTAGCCGATCTGGGTGATTTTTGGATATGTTGTTCACCTAGATCGGGGCGATCAGAGGATGTAACATTATGGGGTTTTATGTGTTTTTAAGGTACTTTTTGGGATTTCATAAAATTGGATGTTTTTTTGTGCTTGGAGATAATTGGTTTAGCTTAGTACAGTTCCTGATTCAATTATCTCCCAAGCACAGAGGAGGGATTCTATTGTTTGTGCATGGGAGTGTCTAACTGTATGACTCTGTTTTTATTGGTTTATTCACTTTGTGTCCCTGTGCCCAACAAGGCCCACCTGGGTGACACCCTTTTTGGGAAACTTGCATAAAAAGCCAGCGTGCCTCCATTAAAATTCTGTTCCTGCTTACCCTCAACATAGAGTCTCATCTCATGTGTGGGGGGGACGGCTGTATCTACCCTGGGGATTGCTATATCACTATACTCCCCAGGAATTATAAACACTAGCTCTTATAAGAGCTGTTCCTGCTACGCTCTCTGGAGTAGGAGAGGTCTGCCCACTGGAAGCTGGATCCCGTTGTTGGATCCAGGGTGGGTGAAGAACAGCGAGACCCCAGCGCAGCTGCATCGCTGGAAGTGGGGTCTGCAGTGCTTATGGTGTCTGGTGGAGTGTTGGAATTCCTCGGTAAGCACTAGGAGCATCGATTGGCGGAGGCACTCGGTCAGGATGCCAGGCGGTCCGTCACAGTAGCAATACTTGATTGTTTTTTATTTGAGAATATGAAAATAATCAGAGACCCCCAAAATATACCCCGATGATACCTCCTTCCATGGTTTTCATCTCCACCCAGTCCGTCCAATGAGAGATGCCCTGACTGCTCAGACAGGCAACGCGCACATTATACGTGGAGTAGGGGGCAAGGCCGCTGATTACATGGCTGTGGGGAGGAACATTCAGGTTCTGATGGTATATCTTTTGATAGGGTGCAGTGCCAGAGTCAGTGTGGGGGATAACGGCCTAAGAAGGAGCAGAAAAAGATGATTAATATAAGACTTCAAAACCAAACTTTCTAATACACCGTATTGAGACTATGCAATATGGGCATTGATTTTCCACCCACGGTACAATACAGAGTATGATGTCCCAATACTGTACAATACAGAGACACTGTATCTTTCCCCACACTGTATAACTAATACAGGGTCTGATCGCCCCCATACTGTACAATAAAGAGTCTGATCTCCCCCCATACTGTACAATACAGAGTCTGATCTCCCCCACACTGTACAACACAGGGTCTGATCTTCCCCCACACTGTACAATACAGAGTCTGATCTCCCCCACACTGTACAATACAGGTACTGATCTCCCCCACACTGCACAGTATGGAGTCTGATTTCCCCACACTGTACAATACAGGGTCTGATCTCCCCCACACTGTACAATTCAGTGTCAGATCTCCCCATACTGTACAATACAGGTTCTGATCTCCCCACACTGCACAATACAACGTCTGATCTCCCCCACACTGTACAATTCAGTGTCTGATGTCCCCCACACTGTACAATACAGGGTCTGATCTCCCCACACTGCACAATACAGGGTCTGATCTCCACACAGTGCTGAGCGTAAACGTGTTACTGAGTCTCAAACCTGGTATTTTATAACCATAAGAAATTAGAGGGACTTAGAGATAATGAAATTAAAGCAGAGAGGACAAACCCACACTGGGGGCAATTTTCCAAAGACCAGCAAAGTACATGGCCATAAAGTTATAGGCAATCTCCATCACCCAACCAACTATAAAATTACTTTGAATTAGCAGCCACTGATTACTGATATGTTTCTAACATATTAGCAGTAGCTGTCAGCGACTCACAAGTAAGGTACCAAAAAGCAGGCATTGCATGACCCTGGCATGGCAACCAGAAGTGGAGGACAGTCCATAGGGATAGGTGGGTCGACCTCTCCCCGGTTTGTGTTGCAAATAACTTTGTTGTTTTAAGGAATACAGATACATGTATATCAGAAAAGCATGTGTCTTCCAGGATTATATCTGACGTTCCCATTCTCCCCATTGTTTAACTAGAGATGCAGCTGGTTTTGAACATCTCGGGGGTAAGTGTGTGGAGCCCAGCATGACGGGTGGTGCAGATCAACACCATCTTTAAATTTCACCGGCCACCACTGGCAACCAGGACTGTACAGTGATTTGTTTACAGAAAATGTGTGATTGGATGACTCAAGACAAGGTGTTACAGCAATTAAAGAAAGTTAATATAAACACAACTCCAGGGCCAGATGGTTTTTACCCATGAGTAGTTAGTGAGCTAAGAGTGGAAATAAGCAAACCACTGTTTTTAATCTATAAGCATTCTTTTCTTTTAGGAATCGGAGGATTGGAGAAAAGCAGATGTGGTTCCTATATTTAAAAAGGGTTCAGAATATCTGCCTGCAATTTATAAACCTGTTGTCTTAACCTCTATGGCTGGGAAATGAGGTGTTACAATGCTTTCCTATGAGGTTTTCCTTGACACTGGATATCCTTAAACATCATAAAATTCCAGGAAGCGCCACTCTGGTAGACAGCCACTAGAGGCAATATTAGCACTGCAATGTAAACAATTCAGTTTCTCTAAAAGTGCAATCTTTTATATTGCAGGGCTAAAAAAGGGGCAAGGACAGTGCACCCAGACCACTTCAATAAGATGGTCTAGGTGTCTACAGTGTCCCTTTTAAACTCCCCCACCATGACAACTATTGAGTTCTGTAGTCAAAAAGTAATCAACCTTTTTAACATTGTGTTTTCTTCTTACCTGGGGCCTGCTGGGCGCTGCTCCCTGTACTTATATCCACTCTCCAGTGGTTGAGAGAGAGAGAGAGCGCGCTTTCAGTAGTGGAGGTGGGGAGCATTACCTGGCAATGTCTACTTTCAATGGGCGGTGCCAGGACTCTCCTTGCACCATGACCACTACAAGTCCTTTTCCTTTTTTTCCTATAGGATGTATGGGACCTTTGCAGTTGTTTTAAGGGTTAACATCAGCCGGTAAATAGTAGCGACAAGGATGGAAACCAGTCGGTAAGTAGCATTTAATGGCTCCTGTTTTAAGCTTTGGGAGCCATTAATATTAATTCCAGAAGGAAAGTCCTCTCACTAATGGTGGGATTTTGATGGAGGGAAAACTTTAGTGAGTATTGACTGGTTGGGAAAACTTAGCAACGAGGTTAGAAATGAGTCCCAAGCAGACGATACACTATATCATAGCCACACAGAATTCACCTTCTAGTTAGTGAATTTAGCTACGTTTATCGACTGCTGACAGGTGTATAAAATCGCATACAGTTTTCTTTTCGTACAGACATATTGTCAGTAACAGTTACTGTGAAATGGGAATATCTATCCTCAGCCATGATGTGGTAGACCACACACACGTCACGGAATGGGACTGTTATAAAGTAAACAAATATCTGTCATCAGTTTCAATACTTCCTGCTGAGATCCAAATCAATACTGCAAGGGAGCACTGTCCCCCAACACCTGGCCATACGCCTACTATCAGCCTGCACAATGCCAAGCTCACATTGTTTTGGCTCTGGATCAGGGCATGCCGAACGATGCTTTGTTATTTTTTCTGATGAGTGACTTTGGATTTGGAGGATACCTTTGCTACGCTACCTTCCTAGCTCCATAATTACTCACTGTAACAATGGAGGAGGACTGATGATTTGGCAATGTTTTTATAGCTCGGACTAGATCACTTGCATCCAGTGACGGGACAATCTAAAGCTACAGGATCCAATAATATTCTAGGAGATTCTGTGTTTCCATCAAGGCAGGTTCATATTGGAATGGATTGCCAATATCAATGTAGACAAAGCCGACAGACTATCCTTGACCTCAATGCCATCAAACACTGATGGGGTGAAGCTCCAACTGCTGGTCCCCTTATAGTGACAACAATGGTCTATCGTCTGACGGAAAATCTCCTGTTAGAGAGGAAGTTATTATATTAGTAAAAGTAATGTATTTATTCATAGAAAGTCCCCGAAAAAATCAGACATGTTGTGTAATGCTCTGAATGCCAGGAAATGAAAGCACTGAGAGCACAGTTTGTCAGTGAATGAGGAACGAAGATCAGGAACTTGGGGAAGCATGTCTCCCAATTACCTTCACCAACACGCTGACACTATGAAAACATAAAAAGGACAACTTTGAGCTTGTCCTATGAAAATGGAAAAAGTAACCTCTACACGCGATTTGCTGTTTAAATGAAATCATTTATGGACTGTGGATCAGATGTTTACAGAAGCCAATGATCAATTGCCTTTATCGGATATTGATCAGTTGCGTTGAGCATTTTTACAGAAGGCAACGGTTGGTCATTTACAGAGTTCTGATTGCTTGATTACTGTATCATCACTGATCAGTTGGTTAACAAAGCAAAGCGTTTGGTTGTTTACAGAGGAGATGTATTACTGGTTTACATAAAGCTTTGTCCAATGATTTATAGATCAATATCATGTCCAGCCATGGGCATTTCACTAAACCATCACCCATTATCTACCGCCAACTTTTAAACAAACTGCAAAGACTTAAAAAGTAGAAAATAAGCTGGTAATTAGAAAGGGGTGCACAAGAACCATTAATAGTTTAAATTAAAACAATTACACCCATTGTGCCAGGATCCATGAAGCTCTTCCGTGCAGCTCTGTGTTTATTAGAGGGATAACTTAATAAATAGTTTATAGGAGAACTGATTGGTGTGTCGGTTATTTATAGAAAATATTGATTGCTTGTTAACATGTGAATCACACTCTTAACCTAAATCCATTCAAAGCCAATAATTTTCTCAATGAAGAAGTAATACTTGTTGCATCTGTCATTCTCAGCAAATTCATCTTCCTCTTTTGAAATCAATAAATACACTGAAGAAAAAGGAAAACACCAAGTATTCACGTTGCCACAAACCCATGATCACGTACAGATGCCCCCTCTAGGAAAGAATAGGAATGTATCCAGTAAACAGCGACTTGTGACAAATAGGGCCAGATTAACATAGGGACTGATGGAGCTGCAGCTCCATGCCCATGGTATAGGCCCCTTGATTTGATTTCATTATTATTATTGTTTTTTCTTTACTACTCTTCACATGATCTTGCTTAAGTATGGAAACTCAAGAGGGATGTAGGGGAACAAAACTGGTGAAATCTGGCTGACAATGACATTAGTTACGGTAAAGCTGACTGTGCGCACTATGCAAATGCTCTTGCTGCTTCAGTCTCTCTAACACGGTGGCATGTTCCCTTTCTTCTACACTCACTACATACACATTTTCTCTGTCCCAGACTGTTTAACAGGATCTTCTGCCTGCTATTAAGGAGGTTAGGAGAGGAGTGGAGCAGTTAGTGCTAGAGGACAATACTAAGAAAGCATGAAGCGAGCGCTTCATTAGACTCATTTATACCAAGCTTAGGGTGCTGTCTACATAGTACGCCCTTAGCTGGTCATCCTGCATGATTGGCAAGCAGTCTGACTTGCAGATTGGCCTTACAATTCTTCGCGCAGACACGCCCCCTTTTGGGGCATGTTCACCTGTGTTGACAGTTCTGGTTACGTGACTCGCGTCAGTGGCCCACACTTTTTCGCCACCCACCGACATCCTCTTCCACTAGACGCTTCTGTTAGGAGGTATGGATTTACTTGAAAGATAGAAGCGAGAGTTTAACATAGGGTATGTGTTTTCTGATAGCTATATCCTGTGAGTTTCTCTCCAGCACCACCTCCCCCAGATACATGACGCTTGGGAGGTATAACTGGTTTAGTGTTTTCTGTCGATAAGATTCTGTAATTAGGCCCATCATAATTGCCAGCGCTAGGCCCAGTGGGCTCTTAATCTGGTCCTGATGCCAAACTGAGAATTTAGAACATTCAGGATGTTTCATACATAGACTGTGATATAATAACGTAGAATATGTTATACTTACATTGAGAAACACAGATTAATCATATATAATAGGAATGTTTTCTGATGAGAATCATTGGATGCGCGCATGTTGCTCGCCGTGCTTGTGTGTCATGTCCCCAATGCTCCTCTATGAGAATCATTGGATTGGACCGGCATTGGAGGAAGCAATGCCTCCTCGCCGACGTCGCATGGAGGGAGTCCAGGCGCTGGGTAAGGGTAATTAAAAAGCTTCTTTTTTTTTTTTTTTACAGATTTTTACACATTAAAAATAGGGCCCTGAATAGCTGTACTATAGCGTTATGAATACAGATTTGTATTCCTAACGCTACAATGTTTCGTTAACCGATGTCAGATTAAATCAATCAACCGGGGATTTACCTATCGAGTCTTGTTCATTGAATAAAAGTCCCTAGGTATATTCCAGAAGATCGATTCAATGGGACAGAGTTTAAAAGAAATCTGACTTGTTATCACTAGCTGAAAATCATTATTGCACAAATCCCTTAAATGCAAATTGCTAGAAACATCAGTATTGAACAAGAATCCAACTCTTTTATTCAGTCCCAGAATGCCATTATTTACAATCAGTTACTAAACATGTGACCCTGGGAGGGCCGACTCTTTGACATGTCACTGTCATTAGTGCACTGTGACCCTGGGAGGGACTGACCTTTAAACATGTCACTGTCATTAGTACACTGTGACCCTGGGAGGGACCGACCCTTAAACATGTTACTGTCATTAGTACACTGTGACCCTGGAAGGGACTGACCCCTAAACATGTCACTGTCATTAGTACACTGTGACCCTGGAAGGGACTGACCCTTAAACATGTTACTGTCATTAGTACACTGTGACCCTGGAAGGGACTGACCCCTAAACATGTCACTGTCATTAGTACGCTGTGACCCTGGGAGGGACTGACCGTTAAACATGTCACTGTCATTAGTACACTGTGACTCTGGGAGATATTGACCCTTAAACATGTCACTGTCATTAGTACGCTGTGACCCTGGGAGGGACTGACCGTTAAGTCACTGTCATTAGTACACTGTGACCCTGGGAGGGACTGACCCTTAAATATGTCACTGTCATTAGTACACTGTGACCCTGGGAGGGACCGACCCTTAAACACGTCACTGTCATTAGTACACTGTGACTCTGGGAGGGACCGACCCTTAAACATGTCACTGTCATTAGTACACTGTGACCCTGGGAGGGACAGACTCTAAAACATGTCACTGTCATTAGTACACTGTGACCCTGGGAGCGACTGACCATTAAACATGTCACTGTCATTAGTACACTGTGACCCTGGGAGGGACCGACCTGTAAACATGTCACTTTCATTAGTATGCTGTGACCGTGGGAGGGACTGACCATTAAACATGTCACTGTCATTAGTACGCTGTGACCCTGGGAGGGACTGACCGTTAAACAAGTCACTGTCATTAGTACACTGTGACCCTGGGAGGGACTGACCATTAAACATGTCACGGTCATTAGTACGCGGTGACCCTGGGAGGGACTGACCGTTAAACAAGTCACTGTCATTAGTACGCTGTGACCCTGGGAGGGACTGACCATTAAACATGTCACTGTCATTAGTACACTGTGACTCTGGGAGATATTGACCCTTAAACATGTCACTGTCATTAGTACGCTGTGACCCTGGGAGGGACTGACCATTAAACAAGTCACTGTCATTAGTACGCTGTGACCCTGGGAGGGACTGACCATTAAACAAGTCACTGTCATTAGTACACTGTGACCCTGGGAGGGACTGACCATTAAACATGTCACGGTCATTACTACGCGGTGACCCTGGGAGGGACCGACCATTAAACATGTCACTGTCATTAGTACACTGTGACCCTGGGAGGGACCGACCCTTAAATATGTCACTGTCATTAGTACACTGTGACCCTGGGAGGGACCGACCCTTAAACATGTCACTGTCATTAGTACACTGTGACCCTGGGAGGGACTGACCATTAAACATGTCACTGTCATTAGTACACTGTGACCCTGGGAGGGACTGACCATTAAACATGTCACTGTCATTAGTACACTGTGACCCTGGGAGGGACTGACCATTAAACATGTCACTGTCATTAGTACACTGTGACCCTGGGAGGGACTGACCATTAAACATGTCACTGTCATTAGTACACTGTGACCCTGGGAGGGACTGACCATTAAACATGTCACTGTCATTAGTACACTGTGACCCTGGGAGGGACTGACCGTTAAACAAGTCACTGTCATTAGTACACTGTGACCCTGGGAGGGACTGACCATTAAACATGTCACTGCCATTAGTACACTGTGACCCTGGGAGGGACCGACCATTAAACATGTCACTGTCATTAGTACACTGTGACCCTGGGAGGGACTGACCATTAAACATGTCACTGTCATTAGTACACTGTGACCCTGGGAGGGAACAACCCTTAAACATGTCACTGTCATTAATACACTGTGACCCTGGGAGGGACTGACCATTAAACATGTCACTGTCATTAGTACACTGTGACCCTGGGAGGGACTGACCATTAAACATGTCACTGTCATTAGTACACTGTGACCCTGGGAGGGAACAACCCTTAAACATGTCACTGTCATTAATACACTGTGACCCTGGGAGGGACCGACCATTAAACATGTCACTGTCTGTATATTTTTGCATTGGGAGTTACTGTCCTTTACGTGCAATGTTATTGCAGTACCTCCATACCTCCACAGTGCAGACAAGCAGAGGATAAACGCCGCTTTCTCCGGGCTGCCAGGTCACCTCCAGCTCTGTTGAACTTCGTGATAATAATTTTAGATCCTTTTGTTTCCGTGGCAAAACTGTACAGAGCAGGAGAAATAAAAGTAACTTTTCAATTTGAGGTTTAGTATTAAAAAACCAACCATTTTACAAACTCTTTTAAGATGTATTAAACAGAGATGTGTGATAAGCGATTGCTAAAGACGTAGAATTTGGGGAGCAGTGGTCGGAATCGGTATTTTGTGCTAATAGTAATAAGGCACCTTCTGCAGCTACAGTGAGGGAAAAGAAATATTTGAACCCCTCCTGATTTTGAACATTTGCCCACTGACAGAGAAATGGTCAGCCTATAATTTTAATGGTAGGTATATTTTAACAGTGAAATACAGAGTAACAAAAAAATAAATAAAAAAAAAACGCAGGTCAAAAAAATTATAAATTAATTTGCATGTCAATGAGTGAAATAAGTACTTGGAGGCAAAAGCCTTGTTGGCAACCACGGAGGTCAGACAGATCTTGTAATTGGCCACCAGGTTTGCACACATCTCAGGAGGGATTTTGTCCCACTCCTCTTTGCAGATCCTCTTCAAGTCATTAAGGTTTCGAAGCTGACATTTGGCAACTCGAACCTTCAGCTCCCTCCACAGATTTTCTATGGGATTAAGGTCTGGAGACTGACTAGGCCACTCGAGGACCTTAATGTGCTTCTTCTTGAGCCACTCCTTTGTTGCCTTGGCTGTGTGTTTTGGGTCATTGTCATGCTGGAATACCCATCCATGATCCATTTTCAATGCCCTGGCTGAGGGAAGAAGGTTCTCACCCAAGATTTACATGGCCCCGTCCATCATCCCTTTGATGCGCTGCAGTTGTCCTGTCCCCTTAGCAGGAAAACACCTCCAAAATATAATGTTTCCACCTCCATGTTTGACGTGGGGTTGCTGTTCATAGGCAGCATTCATCCTCCTCCAGACACGCGAGTTGAGTTGATGCCAAAGAGCTCGATTTTGGTCTCGTCTAACCACAACACTTTCACCCAGTTCTCCTCTGAATCATATAGATGTTCACTGGTAAACTTCAGATGGGCCTGTACATGTGCTTTTTTGAGCAGGGGGACCTTGCGGGCGCTGCACGATTTCAGTCCTTCACAGCGTAGTGTTACCAATTGTTTTCTTGGTGACTATGGTCCCAGCTGCCTTGAGATCATTAACAAGATTCTCCCGTGTAGTTCTGGGCTGATTTCTCACCGTTCTCATGATCATTGAGGTGAGATCTTGCATGGAGCACCAGAACAAGGGAGAATGACAGTTATTTTGTGTTTCTTCCATTTGCGACTAATCGTACCCATTTGCGACTAATCGTACCTTCTTACCGAGCTGCATGGCGATGGTCTTGTAGCCCATTCCAGCCTTGTGTAGGTCTACAATCTTGTCCCTGACATCCTTGGATAGCTCCTTGGTCTTGGCCATGGTGGAGAGTTTGGAATCTGATTGATTGCTTCTGTGGACAGGTGTCTATTATACAGGTAACAAGCTGAGATTAGGAGCACTCCCTTTAAGAGAGTGCTCCTAATCTCAGCTTGTAACCTGTATAAGAGACACCGGGGAGCCAGCAATCTTGCTGATTGATAGGGGATCAAATAGTTATTTCACTCATTGACATGCAAATCAATTTATAACTTTTTGACATGCGTTTTTCAGGATTTTTTTTTTGTTATTCTGTCTCTCATTGTTAAAATACACCCACCATTAAAATTATAGACTGATCACTACTTTGTCAGTGGACAAACGTTCAAAATCAGTAGGGGATCAAATACTTTTTTTCCCTTACTGTAGTATTTGGGTAAAACTAGTCATGTTTGGCTATAAAACAGTACAGTTTGGTTGGTGAATTAACTTACAGTTAAATAAAAAGAAAAAAGTGTGAAAAATGTGAGATAGGAGAATTACCCAGCCTCAATAAATAGTAAATAAAATGTGCATAGAAATAGTGGGTTAAAAAAAGAAGAAATTTTTGTGAATATTTAGTGTGAGATCGGCCAACATGCTAAATTAGTTCTAGTTTGAGAATATACTCTGAATTGTTATGACTACTACTTTATCAGGTGCTCTATATTATCAAATTTCAACCAGAATCAAGATATAGCGCAGGATAATCTGTGCGAATCAGCAGCGAATGCGAGTTGGCGTGTTTTCAAAGTAAGAAACTTCAACGGACATTCCAGAACATTCCAAGGAATCCGGCAATGACAGAGATAAACTGAACTCTGCAGTTAGTTAGAACAATCCTTTTTTTATCTGCCTGAAAGATGATAATATTTTACGATGGATATATAGCCTCGAAATGCTATGGAATGAATATATCGGGGGATTACTCAACAGAATTTAAACCACAACTCGGCTAGATTGACCCAAGATTTCCAAATCTGCTTTAACCCATCTCATTTCACAGCATGGGAGGATTTATTCAGTAAATTTGCACTTGTAACATGTTTATGTAAATAAAATTACCAATAATGCATTTTAAAAGGTACAATATAGATAACAAATAAAAAACAATTATTGGGTAAATTGCTAAATTTTGGCAACCAGTGGAAATTGGTTGCTGTGGTGATCTCTTCACGTTTTGTTCCATAATTGTTCTTTAAAATTAGGAATATTCGCAGTATCTCAACAGACAGGAAATTCGGGTCACTGAAGGTGATCTGCCCACATTGCCACTAGATGTGTGCCGCTGCTCTCAAAATTCTCAGCAAAAACAAGCAAAACCAGAAACTCAGCCAAAAAAAACCCAAAAAAAGCAACGACAACAAAATTAACTTTTTTTTTTTACAAAACATTTATATTTTTTCAGTCAGACTGATGTGACGGAGTCACATGTTAGCAAAGTAAAAAAAGCACATATCTTGTGATAGATTAGCCTTAAAAAATATAGAAGGTGGGTGAGCTGCTGATTTCATTGGGCACATGATTATTTATTAATCTGAAAATTGGTGCAAACTTCAGGCCAAAATAGTAAAGTCTGAATAATTCTCCACTATGGTTTCTGGGTGAGATAGTTTGGCCTCCACAGTTAGATGTTCTCTCCGAGACGTAGCTGAGAAAATCTCAATGTAAACTCTCTTCAAATCTTCCGATAGGCCGGATGTGGGTTTTTATAGCTTATATATTGTGTGTTATTGAGTCGGCCAGTTTAGGGGGAACGCAGAGCCCCCTTGTAATTAAAAGGTAGATTATTCAATTTCTTTCTTGCAGGCCGTGGCTTTAACAACCTCTCACAGGGGGTTATTTGTGACGAAGCTGTGATGATGGCTGAATTGACGAATGTTTTACCATGTGCAATGTTTTCCTCCGTTTTGCTGTTTGACTTTCATTTCACAAGGATTCAGAGTTTAGTAGATAAGCCCCTAGTCTTACTCATTGAATCCCCTATTATATTGTGGGGTGTGCGGCCAGCTGCTGCGGCATTGGGCAGGACGAACAATGAGACCACTTAACAGTAACGTGAAATGTAAATCCCAGCTACTTTGTGATGTTTGACTCACTATTACCACAGCCAGTAGGTTACTGAGGCACCATAACCGCCCGCTTTCATGCCACTGCAGTGAGTGGGCACTGACTCAGAACAATCAGGGTCTAAACAAATGAATCAGCGGCATTCCTTCTGATGGAATCTTCCGGATAATGTGTCACAGATGGACGGGGAGACAGGTGGGAATGATTAGAGAGAAAACAACTAGATATAAAACAGATGGAACATTGTCAGTGCACCTTACTCGTCCCTACAGTGTGCAATACAGAGTCCGATTTCTCCCAGACTGTACAATACAGGGTCTGATCTCCCCCATACTGTACAATACAGAGTCTGATCTATCCCTCACTGTACAATACAGAGTCTGATCTATCCCTCACTGTACAATACAGAGTCTGATCTCCTCCATACTGTACAATACAGAGTATGATCTATCCCTCACTGTACAATACAGAGTCTGATCTCCTCCATATTGTACAATACAGAGACTGAACTCCTCAATACTGTACAGTACAGGGTCTGAACTCCTCCCTGCTCCCCACTGTACAATACAGGGTCTGATCTCTCCCATACTGTACAATACAGGGTCTGATCTCCCCCCCACCCCCTTCCCTTCACTGTAAAATACAGAGTCCGATCTCTCCCAGGCTGTACAATACAGAGTCTGATCTCCCCACACTGTATAATACAGGGTCTTACCTCTCCCAAACTGTACAATACAAAGTCTGATCTCCCCATACTGTACAATACAGGGTCTGATCTCCCCCATACTGTACAATACAGGGTCTGATCTCCCCCATGCTGTACAATACAGGGTCTGATCTCCCCACACTGTACAATACAGGGTCTAACCTCTCCCAGACTGTACAATACAGGGTCTGATCTCCCCACATTGTACAATACAAAGTCTGATCTCTCCCATACTGTACAATACAGAGTCTGACCTCCCCATACTGTACAATACAGGGTCTGATCTCCCCCATACTGTACAATACAGAGTCTGACCTCCCCATACTGTACAATACAGAGTTTGATCTCCTCCATACTGTACAATACAGGGTCTGATCTCCCCCTTACCGTACAATACAGGGTCTGATGTCTCACACTGTACAATACAGAGTCTGATCTCCTCCATACTGTACAATACAGGGTCTGATCTCCCCCATACTGTACAATACAGAGTCTGATCTCCTCCATACTGTACAATACAGAGTCTGAACTCCCCATACTGTACAATACAGGATCTGATCTCCCCCACACTGTACAATACAGAGTCTGACCTCCCCCATACTGTACAATACAGAGTCTGATCTATCCCTCACTGTACAATACAGCATCTGATCTCCCCCATACTGTACAATACAGAGTCTGAACTCCTCAATACTGTACAATACAGGGTCTGATCTCTCCCATACTGTACAGTACAGGGTCTGAACTCCTCCCTGCTCCCCTCACTGTAAAATACAGAGTCCGATCTCTCCCAGGCTGTACAATACAGAGTCTGATCTCCCCCATGCTGTACAATACAGGGTCTGATCTCCCCACGCTGTATAATACAGGGTCTTACCTCTCCCATACTGTACAATACAAAGTCTGATCTCCCCATACTGTACAATACAGAGTTTGATCTCCCCATACTGTACAATACAGAGACTGATCTCCCCCATACTGTGCAATACATGGTCTGATCTCCCCACACTGTACAATACAGGGTCTAACCTCTCCCAGACTGTACAATACAGGGTCTGATCTCCCCACATTGTACAATACAAAGTCTGATCTCTCCCATACTGTACAATACAGAGTCTGATCTCCCCCATACTGTACAATACAGAGTCTGACCTCCCCATACTGTACAATACAGGGTCTGATCTCCCCCACACTGTACAATACAGAGTCTGATCTCCCCCATACTGTACAATACAGAGTCTGACCTCCCCATACTGTACAATACAGGGTCTGATCTCCCCCATACTGTACAATACAGAATCTTATCTCCCCCACACTGTACAATACAGGGTCTGATCTCCCCCATACTGTACAATACATAGTCTGACCTCCCCACACTGTACAATACAGAGTCTGACCTCCCCATACTGTACAATACAGAGTTTGATCTCCTCCACACTGTACAATACAGGGTCTGATCTCCCCCTTACCGTACAATACAGGGTCTGATGTCTCACACTGTACAATACAGAGTCTGATCTCCCCCATACTGTACAATACAGGGTCTGATCTCCACCATACTGTACAATACAGAGTCTGATCTCTCCCCACATTGTACAATACAGAGGCTGATCTCCGAACACTGTACAATACAGAGTCTGATCTCCTCCATACTGTACAATACAGAGTCTGAACTCCCCATACTGTACAATACAGGATCTGATCTCCCCCACACTGTACAATACAGAGTCTGATCTCCCCCATACTGTACAATACAGGATCTGATCTCCCTACACTGTACAATACAGAGTCTGATCTCCCCCCACATTGTACAATACAGGATCTGATCTCCTCCACACTGTACAATACAGAGTCTGATCTCCCCCCACACTGTACAATACAGAGTCTGATCTCCCCACACTGTACAATACAGGGTCCAGCCTCTCCCAGACTGTACAATACAAAGTCTGATCTCCCCAATACTGTACAATACAGAGTCTGATCTCCCCACACTGTACAATACAGCGTCTGATCTCCCCATACTGTACAATACAAAGTCTGATCTCCCCAATACTGTACAATACAGGGTCTGATCTCCCCCATACTGTACAATACAGAGTCTGATCTCCCCCATACTGTACAATACAGAGTCTGAACTCACCCATACTGTACAATACAGGATCTGATCTCCCCCTTACTGTACAATACAGAGTCTGATCTCCCCCATACTGTACAATACAGAGTCTAATCTCTCCCATACTGTACAATACAGCGTCTGATCTCCCCATACTGTACAATACAGAGTCTGATCTCCCCCATACTGTACAATACAGGGTCTGATCTCCCCCATACTGTACAATACAGGGTCTGATCTCCCCAAAACTGAGATACAAAGTCTAGTTTCACGGATACAATTAATGAGTTTTTTTCCTAAGGCCCACTCATGCAGGAATCTTGGTGGGGACGAGAGGGGGTGCGTAGCAATGGAGAATGCCGAATGGCGCTGATGTGAAACAACGCTTATGACTGTGTGGAGGAAGCACTCCTGTGTTATTGTGGAGCCAAGGCTGCAGTGCCCGTTTGCGGAGAAGCGCTGTGAGAGGCAGCAGCATTAAACACCGACAGTCAGAGAGATACGCCAGCGGTCATGAGTTGACCATTTATTTGGAGTTACATGTTCAGATGACCTGGCAGTAGTACGCTGATCTATGTTAGCTCAATATTTTCCACTCGCTGGACATAACTGGAATAAACCGCAAAACTGCAATTCCTTTTAATTCCATTTCTCCTAAAACTAGGAGGTAGAAAGTCAGTGTGAACTCCTGACTGCAGAAGGAATGGCGGAGGCTTCACATAGTATAAAAAATAGTATTCTTTAATCTGCACGGTAATAAACGGTAATAAACACTGATCATTAATATGATAAGTTCTTACCTTTAATTGTCGCTGTTCGGGAGGTGGTCACGCCTTTTGCATTATGAGCTTCACAGGAAAACAAGGAGGATTTATTGAGATCTGTAGGGAGTGAAATACAGATCGTAATTACATTAAATTGAGACATTAAGACGTGGCTCCTATGATTGGCTAGGGTTAGAGATAGCTAGCTTTATGTATAGCTAGGTTTATGGTTAGCCAGGGTTAGATATAGCTAGGTATATGGTTAGCCAGGGTTAGAGATAGCTAGCTTTATGTATAGCTAGGCTTATGGTTAGCCAGGGTTAGATATAGCTAGGTTTATGGTTAGTTAGGGTTAGATATAGCTAGGTATATGGTTAGCCAGGGTTAGATATAGCTAGGTATATAGTTAGTTAGGGTTAGAGATAGCTAGGTATATGGTTAGCCAGGGTTAGATATAGTCAGGTATATAGTTAGTTAGGGTTAGAGATAGCTAGCTTTATGTATAGCTAGGTATATGGTTAGTTAGGGTTCGATATAGCTAGGTATATGGTTAGCTAGGGTTAGATATAGCTAGGTATATGGTTAGCTAGGGTTAGATATAGCTAGGTATATGGTTAGCCAGGGTTAGAGTTAGCCAGGTTTATGGTTAGTTAGGATTAGATATAGCTAGGTATATGGTTAGCTAGGGTTAGAGATAGCTAGGTATATGGCTAGCCAGGGTTAGATATAGCTAGCTTTATGTATAGCTAGGGTTATATATAGCTAGGTTTATGGTTATCCAGGGTTAGAGATAGTTAGGTTTATGTATAGATAGGGTTAGATTTAGCTAGGTGTATATATAGTTAGGGTTAGAGATAGCTAGGTTTATGGTTAACCAAGGTTAGAGATAGCTAGGATTATGTTTCACCAGGGTTAGAGATAGCTAGGTTTATGCATAGTTAGGGTTAGAAATAGCTAGTTGTATGGTTAGTTAGGGTTAGAGATAGCTAGTTTTATGCATAGCTAGGATTAGCGATAGTCAGGTTTATGTATAACTATGATTAGAAATAGCTAGTTTTTTGGTTAGTTAGGGTTAGAGATAGCTAGGTTTATGTATAGCTAGGATTAGAGATAGTCAGGTTTATGTATAGCTAGGGTTAGAGATAGCTAGGTTTATGGTTAGTTAGGGTTAGAGATAGCTAGGTTTATGTATAGCTATGATAAGAGATAGCTAGCTTTATGTACAGCTAGGGTTAGAGATAGCTAGGTTTATGGTTAGTTAGGGTTAGAGATAGCTAGCTTTATGTATAGCTAGGGTTAGAGATAGCTAACTTTATGTATAGCTAGGATTAGACATAGTCAGGTTTATGTATAGCTAGGGTTAGATATAGCTAGGTATATGGTTAGCAAGGGTTAGACATAGCTAGGTTTATGTATAGCTAGGGTTAGATATAGCTAGGTTTATGGTTTGTTAATATATAGGATTGGAAATTGTATCAAAGTGTGACACTCTTCAGTCTCTAAACTAAACAAAACTCAGACTGGAAATGTATTTGTAAAAGTACTTACTAAAGCTTATTCTGATCTGAATTTGGTCAACCAAACTAAATTGGCAACTCCTGGGAGTAAGTAGAGTCTAAGTGAGCAGCGGTGATTGAGAAAGTTAGTTTACTTCTGGGAATGAGTATGAGTGACTAAGTGAGTGTATGCAGTAGAGATAGAGATGTTGAGTGTCCTCTTGGGAGTGAATTTGAGTGAGTGTGTGGAGTAGAGGAAAGGATTGTGAGTGTACTCCTGGGAAAGTGAGTATTATTGAGTGAGAGTGTGTGCGCAGTAGAGAAAGGGAGTGTGAGTGTACACCTGGGAGTGAGTATGATTGAGTGAGTGAATGAGTGAGTGTGTGCACAGAAGAGAAAGGGAGTGTGAGTGTACTCCTGGGAGTGAGTATGATTGAGTGAGTAAGTGTGTGCGCAGTAGAGAAAGGGAGTGTGAGTGTACTGCTGGGTATGAGTGAGTGTGTGTGCAGTAGATGAAATGAGTGTACACCTGAGAGTGAGTGAGGCACTGAATATGCTTATTTATTGAGAAGAGGGGAGAGTTCTATAAATGTTGTGCCGTTCTCCCATTCAGCCAGGAGTAGATTCCAACCCTCCCTGCACTATGTCATCATTAAGATGATCTAATGTCCAAACTATTCTCTACATTAAACAGAAATGTCTCTACATAATAAAGTTGCCCTCCCTCAGCTACAGACTCCAAACATGTGAAATTACATTACTCTGTTTATTTTACAACTCGGTATCTGCTAGCCCCATGTTCACACCCTTACATACATACCAACATACATGTCCCGAATTAGCAGAGACAACCCATGTTTTATGAGGTGAAGGCAAGCACAGCCAGGGTCTGCGCTGTGTATACATGGCAGGGTGTAGGAGTGTATACGTGGCATGGTGTAGGAGTGTATATGTGGCATGGTGTAGTACTGTGTACATGGAGTGGTGTAGTAGTGTATACGTGGCATGGTGTAAGAATGTTTACATGGCATGGTGTAGGAGTGTATACATGGCGTGGTGTAGTAGTGTATACATGGCATGGTGTTGTAGTGTTTACATGGCATGGTGTTGTAGTGTTTACATGGCATGGTGTAGCAGTGTTTACATGACATGGTGTAGGAGTGTTTACATGGCATGGTGTAGGAGTGTATACACGGCATGGTGTAGTAGTATTTACATGGCATGGTGTAGGAGTGTATACATGGCATGGTGTAGGAGTGTATACGTGGCATGGTGTAGTGGTGTTTACATGGCATGGTGTAGTAGTGTATACATGGCATGGTGTAGTAGTGTTTACATGGCATGGTGTAGGAGTGTTTACATGACATGGTGTAGGAGTGTATACACGGCATGGTGTAGTAGTGTTTACATGGCATGGTGTAGGAGTGTATACATGGCATGGTGTAGGAGTGTATACGTGGCATGGTGTAGTGGTGTTTACATGACATGGTGTAGTAAAGTTTACATGGCATGGTGTAGTAGTGTTTACATGGCATGGTGTAGGAGTGTATACATGGAGTGGTGTAGTATTGTATACATGGAGTGGTGTATTATTGTATACATGGAGTGGTGTATTATTGTATACATGGAGTGGTGTAGTAGTGTATACATGGGGTGGTGTAGGAGTGTATACATTGAGTGGTGTAGTATTGTATACATGGAGTGGTGTAGCAGTGTATACATGGGGTGGTGTAGGAGTGTATACATTGAGTGGTGTAGTATTGTATACATGGCATGGTGTAGTTGTGTATCAGTGTGGAAGTGTAAAAGTGTGGGATTGTAACATTGTCTGTTTTGTACTTGATGTTTTTTTCTTCCGGTGATTTGTCCTGTTTATATTTAGCTCAGAGAAGAAGTCTTGAATTAATGAATTAGAGGAGGAAGAATGTGGAGCAGACAATGGGGTTGAGGGGGAAACAGCAAGTGGGAGACAGAAATCATGAATGCCGGAGAGTGAAGGAACAGGTCCTGGAAAACAGAAAAATGCAGAGATTGACGCAGAATACAGAACGTTCTGTCTAATTATTGAAATGGAGCGTCCGATACATTGTCTGAGGTACAGAGCTAGTGCTGTCTGGTCACCGGGTAAAACATCTGGAAGTGAGCAGCCCTTTCCTGTTCTCTTCTCTGGACAAGAAACCAATGCAAAACACAGCTGTCTTGTGGTCTCTACACTGACATCAACCACAGAAAATTAATTCCCAGAATTCATCACAACAAACTACGGCTACTCTTACTTAGCCACTAATTAAAGGGACTGTATAGGCACCAAAATATTTTAATGTTAATAAAGTAATTATGAGGCACAGAGTATGCTGTGCGAGTGCATCAAATCATTAAACAGGTCACTGTCATTAGTACGCTGTGACCCTGAGAGTGACTGACCATTAAACATGTCACTGTCATTAGTACGCTGTGACCCTGGGAGGGACTGACCATTAAACATGTCACTGTCATTAGTACGCTGTGACCCTGGGAGGGGACAGGCCCTTAAACATGTCACTGTCATTAGTACGCTGTGACTCTGAGGGACTGACCCTTAAACATGTTACTGTCATTAGTACGCTGTGACCCTGGGAGGGACTGACCATTAAACATGTCACTGTCATTACTACGCTGTGACCCTGGGAGGGACTGACCATTAAACATGTCACTGTCATTAGTACGCTGTGACCCTGGGAGGGACTGACCATTAAACATGTCACTGTCATTAGTACGCTGTGACCCTGGGAGGGGACAGGCCCTTAAACATGTCACTGTCATTAGTACGCTGTGACTCTGAGGGACTGACCCTTAAACATGTTACTGTCATTAGTACACTGTGACCCTGGGAGGGACTGATCATTAAACATGTCACTGTCATTAGTACACTGTGACCCTGGGAGGAACTGACCATTAAACATGTCACTGTCATAAGCACACTGTGACCCTGGGAGGGACCGACCCTTAAACATGTCACTGTCATTAGTACGCTGTGACCCTGGGAGGGACTGACCATTAAACATGCCACTGTCATTAGTACACTGTGACCCTGGGAGGGACTGACCATTAAACATGTCACTGTCATTAGTATACTGTGACCCTGGGAGGGACTGACCATTAAACATGTCACTGTCATTAGTACACTGTGACCCTGGGAGGGACCGACCCTTAAACATGACCACTTAAAAGGACTGATGTCACTGTCATTAGTACACTGTGACCCTGGGAGGGACTGACCATTAAACATGTCACTGTCATTAGTACACTGTGACCCTGGGAGGGACTGACCATTAAACATGTCACTGTCATTAGTACACTGTGACCCTGGGAGGGACTGACCATTAAACATGTCACTGTCATTAGTACACTGTGACCCTGGGAGGGACGACCATTAAACATGTCACTGTCATTAGTACACTGTGACCCTGGGAGGGACTGACCATTAAACATGTCACTGTCATTAGTACACTGTGACCCTGGGAGGGACGACCATTAAACATGTCACTGTCATTAGTACACTGTGACCCTGGGAGGGAACCATTAAACATGTCACTGTCATTAGTACCTGTGACCCTTAAACATGTCACTGTCATTAGTACACTGTGACCCTGGGAGGGACTGACCATTAAACATGTCACTGTCATTAGTACACTGTGACCCTGGGAGGGACCGACCCTTAAACATGTCACTGTCATTAGTACACTGTGACCCTGGGAGGGACCGACCATTAAACATGTCACTGTCATTAGTACGCTGTGACCCTGAAAGGGACCGACCATTAAACATGTCACTGTCATTAGTACGCTGTGACCCTGGGAGAGACTGACCGCTATTATTAAAGTTTATTGGGACTGAAGCTCTAGATATCCAGTTAATGTTCTTGCAGTATCCATAGAGTTTGTGCAGAAAGATCTGGTTTAAATTTGGTGTCTGTCCCCCGCCCCTCTGCCAGCGCTGCAGATTCCCAGTAACTCCGGGATCTTTTTTGCCAGATGTTAGTGGAAAATCTGAATTTCTCCAAACAAATCATCCAACAACTAATAAGAATTACATTGAATCCATTTAGAAAGACAGAAAATAATACGGGCAGGACGTCTTGCTGCTCTTTCTTCACAGACATGACACACACTGAGGCAGATTACTATTTCTTTACGACACAAAACATCTGCAAGACCCGATCCAAATAGTTGGTCATTCACATGTGGCCACACGACCAAACACCATAACTTACTTCTGACTTCAAGAACAGAAGGGGTTAATGCAAGTTCGTCATGCAGAGAATTCAGTGGGACCCCATCTTGCAGCCATATTACTTGTACGGGATCTGGGGGGCCACTGGCATCACAGCTAAGGTTAAAGGTTACGTCAGAGTATGTGTGCAGATCCTGAGGCTCCTCCGTGAAAAATGGCAGGCCTGGCAAGGGTAGACAGGGTCATGTGTTTTGATTGTACACATCAAAACTTAGACACAAAGAAACACATTTACTGGATCCTTCATACAAACATTACACTCAGTCACACTGACCGACTCACACACAGAAACATGCACAAACAGACTCACACCATCATGCATTCACACACACACAGAAACATACACATAAACAGACTCACACATTCATGCATTCACACACACAGAAACATACACATAAACAGACTCACACATTCAAGCATTCACACACAAAGAAACATACACATAAACAGACTCACACATTCAAGCATTCACACACAAAGAAACATACACATAAACAGACTCACATATTCTTAAAAGGGTGTGCCACTGACACAAATCACGTAACCTGCCAAAAGGGGTGAACATGCCCAAAAAGAGGACATGTCTGCCCAAAGAATTAGAAGGCCAGCCTGGCATGAATGCATGTCAGGATGCCTGCCAATCATGCAGCTGGCCAACTAAGGGCATACTATGCAGACAGTACCCTGATCTTGGCATAAATGCATCTAATGATGCGCTCGCTCAACGCTTTCTAAGGACTGTCCCCTAGCACTCGCTGGTCCACTTGTCTCCTTACTTTCTTACTAGGAGGCAGAAGCTCCTGGTATATAGTCTGGGACAGAGAAAAGCTGTATGTAGTGAGTGTAGAAGAAATGGAACATGCCACAGTGTTAGAGAGACCAAAGTCATCATTACCTTAAAGGATCACTATAGGGTCAGCAACACAAATATGAATTCCTGACCCTATAGTGTTAACACCACCATCTACCCCCCAATGGCCCCTCATGCCTCCATAAATATAGCAAAATCTTATTGTATTCAAGCCTGAAGCTGTAACTTTGTATGCTGTTAGACTCAGAAAAACAAGCAGTCTGCTGACATCATTAGAAGTGGTGGCCTGATCCAATCGCAGTGCTTCCCCATAGGATTGGCTGAGACTGACAGAGAGGCAGAGCCAGCATGATTCAAACACAGCCCTGGCCAATCAGCATCTCCTCATAGAGATGAATTGAATTAATGAATCTCTATGAGGAAAGTTCAGTGTCTGCATGCAGAGGGAGGAGACACTGAATGTTTGGATGCATTTTAGGCAGCCATGACCCAGGAAGGATCTCTAACAGCCATCTGAGTAGTTATCACTAGGCTGTAATGTAAACACTGCATTTTCTCTGAAAAGACAGTGTTTACAGCAAAAACCCTGAAGGTAATGATTCTACAAACCAGAACAAATTCAATAAGCTGTAGTTGTTCTGGTGACTCTAGTGTCCCTTTAACTATATTCATTGTCAGCCAGTCCACACAAGTTTTGTTACCATACATCCCTCTTAAGTTTCCATACTTAAGTAAGAGTATGTGAAAAGTAGTTAGGGTTGCCACCTTTCTTGGAAAAACATACCGGCCTTACTAATTTGCATAATTAAATATGTATGGGTGACCTCGCATGATGTAAATCACAAGGAGTGACATAAGAGAAAATGCTGTAAAATCACCAAAAAACTACTTAGTTTGATTCTGCTGTATAGATGGATTCCTCCCAGTGCCCTCATGACTCAGTGCCCCGATGTGTCGATTACTCCAGGTCTCAGTGTTCCTATGTATCAGTGTCTCAGTGCCCCATGTCTCCCAGGGTCCCCAAGTCTCCCAGTGACCATATGTATCACAGTGTCCCTATGTATCACAGTGTCTCAATGCCCCATGTCTCCCTGTGTCCTCCAGTATTCCCATGTCTCTATGTCCCCATGTATCCCAGGGTCCCCATGTCACTAGGACACTAGGAAGACGGGGAGACCTGGGAAATAGGGGAGACCTAGGGACACGGAGACATCAGTGACACTGGGAGACTGGCTGGGACACTGGGAAAATAGGGGACACTTGAAGACTCGGGGACACAGACACCAGGGTTCACAGACACTAGAGACACTGGCTGGAGGACATGGGGACATTGAGACATGGGGGCACTGGGAGACATGAGGACACTGAGACACCAGGGCCACAGACACTAGGGACACTAGCTTGGAGACATGGGGACATCGAGACACCTTTTTTTTTAAATCAATGGGCCTATTCCATGGGCCTGGGCCTGGGCCTGGGCCTGGAGCTGCAGCTCCATCAGCCCCTATGTTAATCCGGCCCTGATTAGGGGGACTGCCTGAGAGCTCAGGCAGGCCCCCTGCAGGCTCTGCATACGCTGGCTATTCTGGCCATGTGATCGCGAGGACCCCGCGATCCCATGGCTGGGGAGGGCAAGATCGGGCAGAGGGAGTCTGCCTGAGCCAGGAATGCGACCGCCGGCATGGGATCGGCAGGGACCCGGTAAGTATGAAGGACGGTAGGGACGTTCTATACCGTCTGCCGGCGTTTAGAACTGCCCCAAAAACGATGGCATAGAATGCCCACCGTCCTTAAGGGGTTAAAATAAAAGATATATCTAAAAAAATTAAAGAAACATTCACATAAACATACTCCCACCTTCATGCATTCACACACACAGAAACATTCACATAAACTGACTCACACCTTCATGCATTCACACACAAACACAGAACATACACATCAACCAAAATTATACATACACATAGGCTCACACTCTCACACACATATCATACACACTTTCCTACACATTGTACACACACACACGCACGCACACATACACTCTATTTACACAGACTCACACTCTCCACACTTACCTTCCAGCTCCAGAAAAGCCTCATCGGACCAAATAGCAGTTCCTTCCATATTGACCGTACACTGATACACACCAGAGTCTGACAGTTCAAGGCTTGGGATCCTGGGGGTTCCAAACAGCAGAGACACAATGATCACTTAGTGCTGAGATTCAGTACAGGAATAGCAGAGAGAGATGCAGGGCAGGATGGAGGCGCAGTGACAGAGCTGTGTGTGGGGTCAGTACAGGAATAGTAGAGAGAGCTGCAGGGCAGGATGGAGGCACAGTGACAGAGCTGTGTGTGGGGTCAGTACAGGAATAGCAGAGAGAGCTGCATGGCAGGATGGAGGTGCAGTGACAGAGCTGAGTGTGGGGTCAGTACAGGAATAGCAGAGAGAGCTGCAGGGCAGGATGGAGGTGTAGTGACAGAGCTGTGTGTGGCGTCAGTACAGGAATAGCAAAGAGAGCTGCAGGACAGGATGGAGGTGCAGTGACAGGGCTGTATGTGTGTAGTCAGTACAGGAACAGCAGAGAGAGATGCAGGGCAGGATGGAAGTGTAGTGACAGAGCTGTGTGTGGGGTCAGTACAGGAATAGCAGAGAGAGCTGCAGGGCAGGATGGAGGTGTAGTGACAGAGCTGTGTGTGGGGTCAGTACAGGAATAGCAGAGAGAGCTGCAGGACAGGATGGAGTTGCAATGACAGAGCTGTGTGTGGGGTCAGTACAGAAATAGCAGAGAAAGCTGCAGGACAGGATGGAGGTGTAGTGAGAGAGCGGTATGTGGGGTCAATACAGGAATAGCAGAGAGAGCTGCAGGGCAGGATGGAGGTGTAGTGACAGAGCTGTGTGTGGGGTCAGTATAGGAATAGCAGAGAGCTGCAGGGCAGGATGGAGGTGTAGTGACAGAGCTGTGTGTGTGGTCAGTACAGGAATAGCAGAGAGAGCTTCACTGATAGTCCTGTTCATGAATGGCCCAAACTAAGCTGAATTTCCTTCCCGCCTGTTAAAGTTAGCAGAGCATCATGGGAGGTGTGGGCACCATGGGAGGTTCTGCTTTAACTGAAAGTTTTGTCCTCTCTGGGGGACGCCAGTCATACCTCAACTCACTGATAGCCATCCAGGCATCATCTTCCAGGGGCAACTGGATCTGGTTTATATCAGCGTAGTACAACGTCATGCCATCCTGCAGCCACTCCACATCGGGCATGTCCCCCACGCCACCAACCACACAGCGGAGCACCACGTCCTTCCCCAGGGACGAGGTGATATTTCTTGGATTTTCCGAGAAGAATAAATCTAGAAGGACAGTGACATTATTACTCACTTGATATATTTTTATTGACACTGAATGTTTTCTGAAGGAAGAGTAACATCTCGAGCTAAATATGAATTGGTATGTTGTAACATTGTAATGTGGAAAATCAAGAAATAGTATTTTACAGCATACAGAGAACTGTCCCGGCATCACATGGGGTAGACACAACAAGCAGTAAAAAGGTAACTAAAGGTTTATATATTACAGTTAAAAGTTCACTGAGAATCTTGTGGCAGCAAACGTAGTGTAGGAACAAAATAGAGAAACTCGTATAGGGGAGAATGCAAGAGGGAGGGAGTTGGTTATATATATATATTTTTTCAATTCTAAATGTTATTCAAGTTCATTAAAATTACACACAGTTACATTGCACAAAGTATAACATAATGCTGAAAACAAATCAGAAGTTAAACATTGCTTGGGAGACAATGTAAGGCGTCTAAGTTTGATAACAATGAGTTGCGTCAATAAGTGGGGTAGAATTAAAAAAAAAAGAGAGGAGAAGTGGGTGAAGGGTGTGTAGGTGGGGAGGGAGGCAGGGTGGAGCTGTGAGTGTCCCATTCTGTATCACATAATAAAAGATAATGAAAAGTGTCATTTTTGCAGCTACAACATCAGCTTATTAATAACGCTACAGTAATTAGTGATCAATAGCCCTTCATTTTATACAATCATAATGAGAGCAAGGTCACAACGCTTTAAACAATTTCCCTTTCTCAGAGTCTCAACCAGGTGGCTCAGCAAAATGTTATAGTCCCAATCAGGCACACACACATACCTACACAGATACACACATACACATACTGGCACACAGATACACACACATAAACATACACATTGACATACACATACACACACTGACACACACACACACACACACACACATAAACATATACCTAAACATACACACTGACATACAAACTGCAGTTGATATATTATTATCAACCCCCTGCTGCCATACCTTTTGCTGCAGGGAGGTGAATTCCTGGGGCTGGCTTAGGCTGATGGGTTGGGAGTCTACCTGCAGAGCTCTTTCTCCTCACTCCTCCTCTCTCAGAGTTTCTTCCCAGCCCACACGGTCACTAAGCTGGGAGGAAGTAACAGATAGATAATTGCCCTGTTGCTCCCCCCTCGATTCGCCACTGGTCCCAATATATCAGAAAAGCTACACGAGCAGCCACCCGATTTCCAAACCATATCATTGTATTTCATTCAAGTAGAGTAGAGGAGGGAAAATAGGGGTAAGTGCATCGCCTTTATTGTAGTGAGTGTTCTCCCCTGTTGGTATATTAGGGACGAAGTACCCTACTCATGGGTGTGTGGCTGTGCCCCTCTATCCCATGCCAGCTCTAGAAATGTGCACGTTGTTGTGTATTCTCTTGCTGATTGTTCTAATAAGCTAGTTTGCAATATTTAGTTTTGATGATGTCTCTGTAGAGTAATGTGTAGATAGCACATTCTTGCTATCAGAGTGAGCAAAGCTAGACGAATATATAATAACTCTCGACCCTTTGGTAATTAGGGGCTTGAGGAGTAATCGTGTGCTTTCTGGTAATTGAAGGAACGGTAGTCCAGTAGTACGATCAATAAGGTCTTTGACAGATGTCCAGTGGGAGGATAAAGCCAGGCACTGGTACCAGACGTGTAGCACTGGGAGTAGGTTATATTAATAATAATAATAATAATTATAACAAAGGCGTTAAGAAACCCAGGTGCAGTCAAACTCTTCATGAGGGATTTTTCCTCGAAAGGGGTAATCTGACTAGGAGGCCAAATCTGGGGCCATGAGAGACTCCGTAGCACAACTCCTCTGATTGCAGGGGCGACTGACTAATTGCAGAGGGGATCAGCCTGTATTTTGCTGCCTCTATAGACGTTCATTTAACATATTCTTATATTTAACAATCTGCAATGGAAGAAAACGGCGTGCCGGGCCCACAATCTCGCCAATTATGTGGATAATCTAACAGCCATTATTGGGAAGCCCCGCCACAGCCAATGCGATATCTCCTCCTTCAATAACAATAGGTCCCAGAAATTCGGTCCTGTACCATCTAGTGTAACTCAGTTCCTGAATCGCGGAAGAAACTGAGCTCATATTCCTTACTATCGTCTTTCCACAAAAACGACCGCAATTTACAAGCCATCAGAGACAGCCACTGAAAACAAACGCACGATCGCCAAGAGATTATGATGGCAGCAACCAGCAATACATTGTGTCATTTAGGCAGTTTGAAACGTTCTCCTTGGATGAATTTTACAGTTTGGTTTCCCATTTCATACAATGCAGTGTTTATTTAATAAATCCTATTGCCTTTGATTTGCAGAGTGAATGCCAGCTTTCTATTATGTAGAAATGAGTTCTGTGAATTGTCTGATGGCGCGCTGTACCCAGCACGGATTACACTATTGGCGCTTTTATATTTTTCCATATATTACATGTGAGACGTCCATATTACAATTGACACTGATTGTACCTCTATTCCAGAAAAGGATCTGACTGTCCACTTGCTCTATATCCCGGGCAAGGATTATATTTATTTATTTATTTATAAAATATTTTACCAGGAAGGATACATTGAGATTTCTCTCATTTTCAAGTATGTCCTGGGTCTTTGACCACAAAACATTGCATTGTTACAATAGGGTACCTTATTACAAAAATATAATATACAAACTATATGTATATATATATGTACACACATATATAAATGTAATACATTACAGGTAATAAATATATTCAACCATGACAGGTGCATTCTGTGCTGAGGAATATTGCCTTAGATCTCTTAAAAGATTTTAGATTGAATGGATATTTGGCTGTATTATAAACTGGTGCATGAGAGCTAACAGATAGCTCTTTCATTGTGAGTGTACTTCCAATGATTCTATTTTCCACGGCTGTTTCAAGTCTCGATTCTACCACGATTCCTCCTGTATTATAAAGAATCTTTTGGAACTATAGTGTATCACATATAAGACCATCTTAACTATACACAAGACAATATTGCTTATCGGAGGCTAAGAGCGGCCATCACAGTGTGAATCACCCCCAAAATACATTAATCAAAAGTGTTTTAATTTGCTGTAAAACAACATTGTCACTAATACAAAGTATTTAGCGGATACTATTGGTGTGGATTATTGTGAATTACTAGCGGTCATATCGCACACAGAAAGACAGAGAGAGCTGTCCCTCTGACTCTGTTCTAAATGTCAATGTCCTGAAATGACTGTTGCACTGAGCAGCGGCCTTTGACCGATTAATCCCTGTACTTGGCTCACAGGCCTCTTTGGAGGCGATGAATCGGCCTGTTTATTCACTTGTTAGATGAGTCTCTTTCCTTGCGAAGAGTTCTCACCACTGACTCACCCCCCCAAATATCAGAGCCACATCGTCTACTGTTTGCCATACAAAGTCTTCCAAACACAGTGTGCCGGGAACAGGGTACTTTTCACACCAAGTACTTATTATAAGGTCATTATCACCATTTAGATACAGAGTTACATGTTTATATCAGTGTATAGATACTCAGTATTATTATACAGAGCGGCGTGTTCATTATCAGTGTATAGATACTCAGTATCATTATACAGAGCGGTGTGTTCAGTATCAGTGTATAGATACTCAGTATTATTATACAGAGCGGCGTGTTCATTATCAGTGTATAGACACTCAGTATCATTATACAGAGCAGTATGTTCATTCTCAGTGTATAGATACTCAGTATTATTATACAGAGCGGTGTGTTCATTATCAGTGTATAGATACTCAGTATCATTATACAGAGCAGTGTGTTCATTATCAGTGTATAGATACTCAGTATTATTATACAGAGCGGCGTGTTCATTATCAATGTATAGATACTCAGTATCATTATACAGAACAGTGTGTTCATTATCAGTGTATAGATACTCCGTATTATTATACAGAGCGGTGTGTTCATTATCAGTGTATAGATACTCAGTATCATTATACAGAGCGGTGTGTTCAGTATCAGTGTATAGATACTCAGTATTATTATACAGAGCGGCGTGTTCATTATCAGTGTATAGATACTCAGTATTATTATACAGAGCAGTATGTTCATTCTCAGTGTATAGATACTCAGTATTATTATACAGAGCGGTGTGTTCATTATCAGTGTATAGATACTCAGTATCATTATACAGAGCGTGTGTTCATTATCAGTGTATAGATACTCAGTATTATTATACAGAGCGGTGTGTTTATTATCAGTGTATAGATACTCAGTATCATTATACAGAGCGGTGTGTTCATTATCAGTGTATAGATACTCAGTATCATTATACAGAGCAGTGTGTTCATTATCAGTGTATAGATACTCAGTATTATTATACAGAGCGGTGTGTTCATTATCAGTGTATAGATACTCAGTATTATTATACAGAGCGGTGTGTTCAGTATCAGTGTATAGATACTCAGTATCATTATACAGAGCGGTGTGTTCACTATCAGTGTATAGATACTCAGTATTATTATACAGAGCAGTATGTTCATTATCAGTGTATAGATACACAGTATTATTATACAGAGCGGCGTGTTCATTATCAGCGTATGTTAAGAAAATTATTTTCTTTCATCCTCTTTTATTGCTTCCTCTCTCGTTTCCCGTATTTATTTTTACTACATGACACACGATTAACCCATTGGGTCACTTGGTTTTGTACGTGACTGTCTCTTTAAACCATTAACCCTGCGGCTGCCAGTCTCTGTAACCTATTTACTCTCTGCTTTTCTCACAGACCTTTATTTTTCATTGTGCTAAAAACACGCCCAACAAACAGTTCTCTCACAGCTGGAAGGAATGTCTTTTGTTCTGTGTGTCTGACTGGAGGGCCCGGTCTGGGCTCTTACTATGCTCTGATCTACACATTAAACCATTCTGGGGCCGTCTCCCACTGCATCACACTGTTTAGTAAATGTGACCCCTTTAGGGAGTGAGATTTGTACCCTAATAAGGTCAAATAAGCAGCAGGAATCTGACTGGAGATCCCCTAATGTTTGAAGCCCTCAAGGAATGGGTGACTCAGATCTGTGGTGCCAGTCGAATTTACCAGTTCTGATGAATAAAACAAAATAAAGCATTTATGCTGCACCAATTCCTTAAATATCAGCTTTTTCAAGTTTCTCTTGTTAATGTTTTTGTATCAATGTGTAACTTTTTATTTTGAAGGAAAAATTAAAACATCATTTTTATTTATAAAATATTTTTTCAGGAAGGATACATTAATATTTCTTTCGTTTTCAATTATGCCCTGGGTATAATAAAACAACATACATGAAAGAAAGTGTGCGGTGATGAGGCCCTTGTTTACAGACTGATGTTAAATATTGGCCTGTAGCCAGAGGCACCTGCTGTTGCTGGGGGGTCCATAGCATTTGGTGACCCCCCGGGTGTTGCTGACGTTTCGCGTGGGTCCGCCTATGTGTTGGTCAGGGCCCTTGGGCTTGCACCTACAACAGGAAGTTCGTGAAAAAATTTGGAGGGGAGACTTTGTTGATATTTTTCTCTCCTTCCCATGGAGGAGGCTCCTCCTTTAATGGCAAAGGATGGGTAGGAATCCGGAAAAGACAAGGAGAAATGCCGGTTGCCTTTGAATAAGATTCAAGGCTGGCGGCGCAAGGGGGCCTTGGCCATGGGGCGGCGCAAGATTCAGCTGCGCTGCCTGCAGTCGCTCCTGGCTGAGCTGAATTTTTGCCTGTCGGATCATGCCCGTGGGGCAGGTCTTTAACCCGTGTCTGGCTACGGCGACGGCCGGGGTCTCCAGGCCTCGCCATTTCATTCAGCTCTCTCTGCCGCTGCGGGAGGTTTTGCCGGTTTGGGACTCCTTCTTGGCTGCATATCACGGCCGGTCCTGTTGGCAAGGGCCGGAGGTTTCTAACGCCGACCTCCACCTATTTACGGACGCGGCTGGCGCGGTGGGGTTTGGGGCCATTTTGGGCTCTTGTGGCCGGACAGTTGGCATGTCTCTGGGCTCACAAAGAATCTGACCTTTTTTGGAGCTTTTCCCCATTTTGGTGGTGGGGGAGGTCTGGAGGTCATGTTTTCAGGACAATTTGGGGGTTGTTCAGGCCATTACTCGGCTGACAGTCTCCTTCCCTCCGGTGGATCGCTTGTTTAAGGGGCAATCACCCCGCAGGCGGATCTGGAGGGGACGCCTTGCCCGGCGGACATCTGGTCGCTCAGTCTGGCAGAGTGACAGAATGGGTCCGTGGATCAGTTTCCAAGGCCACCTGGACGCTATGCATGTTGGGGTATTGGTTATTCCTAGTAGGCCATGCGGTGGTGGGGTATTGTTTGTTGCCATTCGGCGCCCTGTGGATCATATCACTATAAGTATTTGACAATCCAGGGCAGATGTTTTTTCTGGAAAGGTATGGCGGTTCGGCTGTTGCACTTCTCCTTTGTGGAGCACTGTGTGCTGCACCCAGTATGCACGGCCCCTCTTTTGGGTTATGCGGATGGAACCTTTTCTTTCCTATTCCCAATTCTTTGGGTCTTTGTCTCAAGTCTGATTCCTTTCTGTTTAGCGCTGACTTGGAGGATTTTAGGATGGGTATGTCAGCGCCCGTGGCGCAAAGAACTGGGAGGAGGTATGGTGAGATGTCTCGGTGAAGTAATGCTGGTTTCGTGGAATTTGTTCAATCCTTGGGGGGTTGCAGATTCAATTCTCAGCAGGGTGGCTCATCCATTCATTCCTTTGAGCTAGATAAATTAGTACCAGTTCCTTGGGTACAAGTAACAATTCCCAGGGTGCACTTGGAAAACAGAAAATATCTGGATGTCTTTTTCCTGGTTATACTCCCAGGTGGCATGCGGGAGTCTGTCCGGGAGGTGAGCTATTGGGTTGTGCGCCTTCTGAAGCGGAGGTTCGTTGGTTTGGTGCCGGAGGTATGAAATGTGTTCGGCTTCTCCCGGAGCAGGTTCAGCTGTCCCACCTGTACCTAATGTTTGGGTTATTCACCTGGCGGGCATTGACCTTGGGACGATACCAAGGTGGTGTTTGGCGTCTGCCCCTACGAGGGTCTTGGTGCATGTTTTAGTAGTTTTGTGATGCGTGGTGTTGGGTTCACTGTATGACCCTGTGTGTTAAGTTATATATGTTAAGTTATGGTTATTTATGTTTAACGTTTTGCTTTCAGAAAAGAAGAGAGGTTATAATTATAGAGATTATTATAATAAGTTCTAGATGTGTTATACAGGACTTGTCGTATGTTATAACAAAGCAGTTCTAAAAAATTTAAAATAAAATAAAATAAAAAATCAATAAATAACCTTGATTGGTCGGAGATCATTTCCCATATCTTTGGCAGCGGGCCCATAATCAGTGCATGGTACGCTGCCGTATGAAGCAAAATTGGAGCGCCTTTCGAGGTGTTTGAGGGTAATGGGATTTTGGTTTGCCACAGGGTGTTTTCGCGCATGTGGCAGCTACTGTGTTTCTGGGTTATGAAGATTGAGCTAGACCTTTTTTTTCATCTTGCCATGCAGGAAGTGGTGGAACAGGCCTGGCTGGTTTTGGTGGGGCTCCCAGCTGATTTTAGGTTTAAAACAGCGGGGTTTGTGGTGGGGAGCGTGTCCTTGCCAACAGGGTTGGGGAGCAGATGGAATGTCAGGAGATGGACATGGTGGGTCTCAACCTCCCCTGCTCTGAAAGGTAAACTTTTAAGTTACCGAATAGGATGTGCCCACCGAGCAAAAAGCCGGCTGGTGGTAGAGCATTTAAGATGATGGGAATTTTTTGTTTGGACGAGGGGGGAGGTGAGACACCAGTGGGTAAAGTTTTGGTGCTTAGGCATCTGGTTAAGTTCGTTGGCAAGGACGGTTATTAAAGTTGGAGGCTGTAGGGCAATAAGTGTAATTTATATGTTAATTATGGTATGTATATATATATTTATGTGTTTATTTATATTTGAATTAAAGAAAAAAAGAATAAAGTTTGGATGAGTCCTACAGTTGTAAGTTTAATAAATGCTGTGGCCTGTTTCATCCAATATTTGTTGTTTGTCATTATTGGGGGAGAATTGGGGTAGTCTCCTTACTCTTAGTCGCACCACATTCCCCGCTACGTACATACATGGGAAACAATTACCTCCCTCACAATTTGTGTAACCCGCAAGGACACGCCTTTAGGACATTATCTTGTTGACACGTATGAAAATTGTTTTTTGATGACCTGCACCTGCGGTCACCCCAAAACCCAGCAATTGCTTTATTTGTAAAACACCAGACCAGATCTGGGGGCCCTAACCCAGAGTGAAAACAAATCAGATTCTAGATACAGGGATAGGCAACCTTCGGCACTCCAGATGTTGTGGACTACATCCCACATAATGCTCTTACACCCATAATGCTGACAAAGCATCATGGGAGGTGTAGTCCAAAACATCTGGAGTGCTGAAGGTTGCCTATGCCTGTAATCTAGAATATCAACCAGAGCAGAACTGTGGAACCCCCACAGCCCCCACTACTGCTGTTATGTCGAGTAAAACAGAGAGGCCATGGGATCGGACAGGCTAATAGCGGTCACTACATGGACAAATCATTCAATTCTACCTCTTATCTCTCTACCTGAACTATAATATCATCTTCTCCATTATTCGTTGAGACACCGCGTGACAGGACGACAACATACCTCTTCTACTGGCCTCCAGTGATATAGACTGGCCTCCAGTGATAGAGACTGGCCTCCAGTGCCAGAATCTAGCATCCAGTGATAGAGACTAGACAACAGTGTCAGAATCTAGCATCCAGTGATAGAGAGTAGCCAATAGTGTCAGAAAATATCATCAAGTGATAGAGAGTAGCCAACACTGTCAGAAACTATCATCCAGTGATAGAGACTGGCCTCCAGTGTCAGAAACTAGCATCCAGCGATAGAGAGTAGCCAACAGTGTCAGAAACTAGCATCCAGCGATAGAGAGTAGCCAACAGTGTCAGAAACTAGCATCCACCATAGAGTAGCCTTCAGTGATGAAGACTGTCCACCAGAGTTAGGGAGTGACCTCCGGTGTCATAAACTAGCCACCAGTTTTAGAGACTGGCATCCAGTGATAGAGACTGGAAAATAGTGTTACAGAGTGTCCTCAAGTGTCAGAAACTAGCATCCAGTGATAGAGACTAGCATCCAGTGATAGAGACTGGCACTCAGGGTTGGAGACTGGCACTCAGGGTTGGAGACTGGCCTCCAGTGTCAGAAACTAGCATCCAGCATAGAGTAGCCTTCAGTGATGAAGACTGTCCACCAGAGTTAGGGAGTGACCTCCGGTGTCATAAACTAGCCTCCAGTTTTAGAGACTGGCATCCAGTGATAGAGACTGGCATCCACTGATAGAGACTGGAGAATAGTGTTAGTGTTACAGAGTGTCCTCACATGTCAGAAACTAGCATCCAGTGATAGAGAGTAGCATCCAGTGATAGAGACTGGCACTCAGGGTTGGAGACTGGCATCCAGTGTCAGAAACTAGCATCCAGTGATAGAGACTAGCATCCAGTGATAGAGACTAGCATCCAGTGATAGAGACTGGCACTCAGGGTTGGAGACTGGCATCCAGTGATAGAGACTGGCACTCAGGGTTGAAGACTGGCATCCTATGTTGGAGATCATCTCCAGTTAAGTGATACAGATTCTCTGATTCTAATTAATCAGAAAGCCATTCAATGAATAATGCTAGTGAGAGCGCCCATTACAAAGTCAGAATTTATCAAATTCTTCTGGAAAGTGATGGTTAAATCTTGTCATTAATTTGATTGTATTTATTGGTGTTCTAAATGTGAGCTACAAATTATGGTTTTCTTTGGAGTAAATTATTTCACAGAAGTCTCCATTTCTTGAGTGACGGGGAATAAAAAGTTTGATTTTTATGCCTGTATTGGTGACAAAATTACTGATAAATCCATTGTGTCACTGAAAATGGGCACATATTAAAAAATTTGACATAAAAAAAATAAAAAATACAAATACAAATTTCATTTACTGCGTCAAACGATTGGCCTGAAAATTTGATGTAAAACTGTCGGCAGAATTTTGCTAAGTCTCCCCCAATATTTGTACTTCTCTTCCTCACCTGCAATTCACTCCGTCTATGCCATGTCAGTAGTTTACGATGTCATTAGCTAAACGTTTAAAGAAAAACAGAACATCTCACTAACAAACGGTTTTAAATTCCAAAGACGCGAGTGATATTTTTTTGTGAGTTTGGCAGTTTATTAAGAAATGTTTTTGTAATGATTGTGATAGCAAGTTTGTCGGTTCTTTAGCAAACATGACAGTAAAGAAATGAGTGTGACAGCACGCCAGTGAGTTTGTCGACCGTATAATGAGCGTGACAATCCAGAAATGAGTGTGACTATTGTTTAATGAATGTGACGGTCCAGAAATGAGCGTGGCATTGCTTTTATTGCACAACCCCCAAGGAAAGTGACCATGCTTTAATGAGTGTGATTATTATGTAATGAGTTTTACAACCCACCAATAAATGTGGCTTTATTGAGTGTCACAGTCCGAAATGAGTGTGCTTATTCTTTATTAAAAGAACACTCCAGGAACCATAACAACATAATCAAAATGAAGTTGTTATGGTGACAGGAGGTCCCTGGCGCTGACTCTTTTTTGGGGGTTAAACCATTCACTAGAGGTTTAACCCCAAAGTCTGTGTTCCAGCACTGTATCTCTCTTCCCCCGTCTTTCGGTTTGCTGAAGATCCTTACAACGGAAGATTATGGCTGCTTCTGGCCAGTGCGTTGCTGATTGGCTGAGAACTTTCAGCTGGCACTTTCCCCATTTAAAAAATGACTTGAGAAATGTACACATTTTTCATACACAGTTTTTATGAAGAGAGAGACAAAGATTGACAGACAGCACCAAGCCAATCAGCATTTGTGCAGCATTTCAGAGCAAAATACTGCACACACAGACTCCAGGCACCGTGACCACTTCAAATCCCTGAAGTGGTCATGATGCCTGGAGTAACCCTTTAAAGGGACACTATAGTCACCAAAACAACTTTAGCTGAATGAAGCAGTTTTGGCATATAGCTCACGCCCCTGCAGTCTCACTGCTCAATCATCTGCCATTTAGGAGCTATATCACTTTGTTTATACAGCCCTAGTCACACACCCTTGTATGTGACTTACACAGCCTTTATAAACACTTCCTGTAAAGAATCATCTAATGTTTACACTTCCTTTATTGCACAGTCTTTTTAATTAAGAATTTCTTATCTCCCGCTCTGTTAGTAGCCTTCTAGACCCCGCAGGAGCCTCCTGTGTACGATTAAAGTTAAATTTACAGAGCAGGAAATGAATGCACAAACTTTCTCCAAATCTCATTGCTAAACATGGACTCTAAAATATATGCCAAGCTACTAACAACATGGTTAATGTCTGTCTGTCTTGCCAACTCTCATTTATAGGGTCCATGTAGGATTTGTGGCCGCATACACCAATTTATTGATGTGACACATTACATGGGTGAAAGTTAGACACCTTCTCTGCTCCTATCTTTGGATGCAGAGAAAGCGTTTGACAAAATCCACTAGGGCTATCTTCATCAGGTCCTAGTACAGATGGGTTGCCTATTGCAATTTATTAAGACTTTACTTGGTTTGTACAGTTCACCAAGGGCCTCAGGCTTCATGTCTCACCTATATTTAAGAATACCACCAAGCAGGGGTGTCACGCTTTAGTGCCGTTTCCTATTACTAGTTAAATATAGAAAAAATACAGGTCCTCCCTATTCATTGCAGTCCAGATCTGAGCTCCTCCTTACGGGTTAAATTACCCTTTGCATGAAAAAAAATGCCATATTGTTCCTGGATATTTCCATTATTAAAATCCATGAACATGCATTTTCCCGTGTATCCCAAGATGGCTGGGAGATATGGAAACATTATATCCATAGAGATTGTAAATAAATATAGACTTCTTGTGACGCTGGCTTCGTTTACCTTTCATGTATCTACAACAGAGAATACTCCTGAATAATTCTGACTGCGCATAACCATCATGACTAAATATTTGGCCATAAGTAAGGCTCCCATCTCCGACTCCCCTCCTTCCACAGATTGATTAAAAAGATTTATAGTAATATTTACATGGGCAATATCAAAGTCATTTTATGTTTTTATATGTACTTTAGAATCTTAAGTTATAGTTTACTATATTTTATTTGGACAAACGTTGACGTTTTGTGTATGTTTTTATGAATTTTGTATGGAATGTATTATCGACTCGTTATGTCATCGGATGACATGATTTTATCTTTTATACAAAAATATGAGATATTACGGTGGGGCAGGTTAGAGATATCACGGTGGAGCAGATTTGAGATATCACAGTGGAGCAGATGTCTGTATTACCTAAATTATTGTATTTACTAATTTAGTGCGCACTATCTCAATATTTATTCCAGAGTCGGTTCAAAAGGACATTAGCAGTTACATCTGGTAAAAAAAATAAAAAAAAATGCACCAGATTAAAATGATCACACTTCATGGACAAAGATTTTGGGGGTTCTCGAGCACCAAGTTTTCTATGATGTAGCAGTTAACGCAGCATAGGCAAGGTGGTTCTGTTCTAGTCATGAGATAACCAGCTTTGTAGACTTGTGATAGTCCTTTCTTTCCAACGTGGCGACTGATGAACTAAGTTAGTTTCCCAATCTGACCCGCTATTGTCTCAACATTGCCCATAATAAAATTCTCTTTTGACAAGCAAGTAACAGGAAGTGCACTCAATCCACAAGCCAATGGGGTGCTTAGCTAGACCATGGGCCAGCACTCGCCCATCAGAAAATAGATATGGCAAGAGAAGGTCCAGACACTCTCTAGTTCTGCTGGTTCTAATGAATGTGCCCTTAAGCATTGAAGTGCATGAACTTTATTTTGCTTTTTGTAGATCAAAAATCTCTACTTACACATGGGACAAAGTTTATACACAGGTAATCTCGGGGGCCATGCCCATCTCTATCATGAATCACTTTCTTCAAGACTTGTCACCAACACATTATTCTTTATATATCAGAATCTGTTCGGCAATGGAGATTGAATGTCCTTTGAGGATTTAAAAAGTAAACATAGTTTGTGAGAGTCCCTTAGATATCATTTTCTGCTTATGATGCATTGCTTTTATAGCACATATAGAGTAGAGGGATAAAACCATATTACACTCCCTACCATCACAGCTTGACAGAATGTGTTGTGAGAACCTAATGGACAAGCTTGCCATATCACTGTCACTATTAGTACTAATCTTCGACCAATAGATCTAAATTAAACTCATGCTACAAAGGGAAATGGGGCTCTCTATCAACCTTGATTTGGCAAGCTGGGTTTATACAAACCATCCACATACAGGTGGTATCTTGAACAGTCCAGATTAGCTAAGATATACCCAGACACTTTGAATGTTTGTTGGAAATGATGGATAATATTGATTTAGTACTGGCATTTATATGGCACACGTGTGACGAAAGTACCTTCGCCACTGAGATTTGGAGATGTATTGCCTTTTAAAAGCAGTATTTGGGCATATTGGATATTTATACTCTATGTCTGCCCCTTTAAATTATAATGGAGCAGTTTTACATGTTCAAAGTGGCACTTCGGATACAGCCAAAGTGGCCGCCAATCGACAAACGAACACGTGACGGCGGTCATTTTAATAAAGCCGAACGCGTTCAGCTGTGTTTGGTCGTTGAGTTCATGGAACTGAAATCGGACATTTGATGGCATGAACACCGCTGAACTTTACCTTCTCCAGACTTCAACTCATTCGACTGGAGTCGAACACTGTTCGACAATTCGAACGGCACTTTAAAATTGACGGCTTGCACGAACGGTTGCCATTCGTCTATTTGAACAGAACCAAATTCTCTGGAACTGTTTTGGGCATGAAATCATGCGTGCATTCGGTCAAATATGACTTCCATGGAACTTTTGAACCCCTGCTCTGATCTGGGTGATTTTTGGATATGTTGTTCACCCAGATCAGGGCTATAACATTTGTGGGGATATGTTGTATTTTGGGGTACTTTTTGGGGTTTGTATAAACGTATGTTTTTTTCTGCCTGTGGATAATTATGTTATTCCACTAGCTATCTTAATTATATCACAGGCAGAGAGGAGGGCTTGCTGACTGTATGTGGGAGTGTTTCGGTGTTAATTATTGTTTCTATTGGCTCGTGTAACTTTGTGTCTTGTATTCCACAAGGTCCACGTGGGTGGTAACCTTGTGGAGAAATGTGTATAAAAGAAAGGCCCTTTGTGCTCAATAAACAGATCATCTTGTACCTTCATGAAGTTTCGGCTCATGTGGAGAATTACCTACACTTTGGGGATTGCTATAATCACTATACTCCCCAGAGTAAGCTCTTCTAAGAGCTTGTTCCTGTTCTGGTTCCTGCTCTCTGGATTTAGGAGAGGTCTGCCTACTGGAAGCTGGTCCCTGGTCTTGGGCCCAGAGTAGGAGGAAGACGGCGAGACCCCAACCAAGCTGCGGCAGTTCATGGGGTCTGCGGTGGTTGTGGTGTCTGGTGTAGTGCTTGGAGCCCTTGGGAAGCACTAGGAGCATCCGTCAGCGGAAGGTACCCTGTCAGGGTGCCAGGCGTTCCGTTACAACATGTATAGTGGATCCAACCATTCTGGGATTTTATACGACAATTGTTAAGCCAGAGCCATTCCAGAAGGAGGTATTCCCGAAGGAGGTATTTCAGAGCCATTGCAGAAGGAGGTATTCCAGAGCCATTCCAAAAGGAGGTATTATCTTTGTTTATCAATTTAAAACTAGGAATGTCTAATGAAATCATAGAATGAGTGTGAAGCATGTCTAAATGAATTATACTATTCTTTAGTTCCAGGCTGCTAATGTCGTTGCTGGAGGTAGGGTTATACTCTGTATGGTAAATCTTCATACTCAAACGCTGTGCACACACACTCCAGGCACCATGACCACTTGGTTCTGTAATACGTGTAACATTCCCACTATTGCATATAAGTGTTCATCAATGAAGGGGCGAGACTGATTAGGGACAGGTGTGTTCCCATTCACTAAGATTGCTGGAGGAGTATGTGTGGTATTCTGTGATCTAACTCTTTGTATGATTGGTTTCTAAATTGGTCCATCTGGCTATACAAACAGTAAGTGAGATTGCGGTCTGGAAACACACACAGATCATAGTCCAGAAGATGCTCAGCATTGCTGGACGATATACATCGCATTCCATAGAATGCAACATGATAATATTAACATAAACATCACTTTGGAATAATCCATATTTATCACATAACCCACAGAGCTCACAATCAAATTTCAATTTCATACCTCATGACATTTCACATAGACAAAGGGGGGGGGTGGTATTGCATTTCAGGGGTGTGAGTGGGGGCGTGACCAGGGGAGGAGTTGCCCTGTGAAATTGTGGGTGACTTAATTACAATTCATAAAACGATTAATTTAAGCTTCAATTTATACAAAAAACAATGCATCTTATTGACACAGACTGATTTCAAAACACATTTATTGAAGTTTAAAGACACGTTACTGGGAGTATTATTAGTGTGGAGCTCTGTTGTACACTCAGACACATTACTGGAAGTATTATTGCTGTGGAGCTCTGTTATACACTCAGACACATTACTGGGAGTATTATTAGTGTGGAGCTCTGTTATACACTCAGACACATTACTGGGAGTATTATTGTTGTGGAGCTCTGTTATACACTCAGACACATTACTGGGAGTATTATTGCTGTGGAGCTCTGTTATACACTCAGACACATTACTGGGAGTATTATTGCTGTGAAGCTCTGTTATACACTCAGACACATTACTGGGAGTATTATTGCTGTGGAGCTCTGTTATACACTCAGACACATTACTGGGAGTATTATTGCTGTGGAGCTCTGTTATACACTCAGACACATTACTGGGAGTATTATTGCTGTGGAGCTCTGTATACACTCAGACACATTACTGGGAGTATTATTGCTGTGGAGCTCTGTTATACACTCAGACACATTACTGGGAGTATTATTGCTGTGGAGCTCTGTTATACACTCAGTCACATTACTGGGAGTATTATTGTGTGGAGCTCTGTTATACACTCAGACACATTACTGGGAGTATTATTGTTGTGGAGCTCTGTTATACACTCAGACACATTACTGGGAGTATTATTGCTGTGGAGCTCTGTTATACACTCAGACACATTACTGGGAGTATTATTGCTGTGAAGCTCTGTTATACACTCAGACACATTACTGGGAGTATTATTGCTGTGGAGCTCTGTTATACACTCAGACACATTACTGGGAGTATTATTGCTGTGGAGCTCTGTTATACACTCAGTCACATTACTGGGAGTATTATTGCTGTGAAGCTCTGTTATACACTCAGACACATTACTGGGAGTATTATTGCTGTGAAGCTCTGTTATACACTCAGACACATTACTGGGAGTATTGTTGCTGTGGAGCTCTGTTATACACTCAGACACATTACTGGGAGAATCATTGCTGTGAAGCTCTGTTATACACTCAGACACATTACAGGAAGTATTATTGCTGTGGATCTCTGTTATACACTCAGACACATTACAGGAAGTATTATTGCTGTGGAGTAGTGATGTCCCGCACGGTTCGCCGAACGGTTCGCCACAGACGGCGAACATATGACCCTGTACCTCACAGTCAGCAGACACATTCCAGCCAAACAGCAGCAGACCCTCCCTCCTAGACCCTCCCACCTCCTGGACAGCATCCATTTTGAAGCTGCATTCTTAGTGAGCTGTCCAGGAGGTGGGAGGGTATGGGAGGGAGGGTCTGCTGCTGATTGGCTGGAATGTGTCTGCTGACTGTGAGGTACAGGGTCATATGTTCGCCGTCCGCGGCGAACCGTTTGGCGAACCGTTCGGGACATCACTACTGTGGAGCTCTGTTATACACTCAGACACAATACTGGGAGTATTATTGCTGTGGAGCTCTGTTATACACTCAGACACATTACTGGGAGTATTATTGCTGTGGGGCTCTGTTATACACTCAGACACATTACTAGGAGTATTATTGCTGTGGGGCTCTGTTATACACTCAGTTATTACTGTGGAGCTCTGTTATGCACCCAGACACATTACTGGGAGTATTATTGCTGTCGAGCTCTGTTATACACTCAGGCACATTACTGGGAGTATTATTGCTGTGGAGCTCTGTTATACACTCAGACACATTACTGGGAGTATTATTGCTGTGGAGCTCTGTTATACACTCAGACACATTACTGGGAGTATTGTTGCTGTGGAGCTCTGTTATACACTCAGACACATTACTGGGAGTATTATTGCTGTGGAGCCCTGTTATACACTCAGACACATTACTGGGAGTATTATTGCTGTGGGGCTCTGTTATACACTCAGACACATTACTGGGAGTATTATTACTGTGGAGCTCTGTTATACACTCAGACACATTGCTGGGAGTATTATTGCTGTGGAGCTCTGTTATACACTCAGACACATTACTGGGAGTATTATTGCTGTGGAGCCCTGTTATACACTCAGACACATTACTGGGAGTATTATTACTGTGGAGCTCTGTTATACACTCAGACACATTACCGGGAGTATTATTGCTGTGAAGCTCTGTTATACATTCACAGGGTTTTTCACTAAAGTGAGAATTCTAAATGATTTCAAACTTCAGGTCAAAGTAACCAAACTGGAAACCTCTAAGTCAGCTATGCTTTCAGTTCGGCTGCTTTGGCCTTAAATGTGAAATTTACTCTGAATTTTCACTTAAGTAGACAATCCTGTCAGACACACCAACAATGCAGAGATCCCAGAAAAAAGGGACATTAGGATAAAATGAGGGACAGAGGGATTTCTGCCCAAAATAGGGACACTCAGGAGTTATGGTCAATGTGAGGACTGATCCCACAATATCTGGACAATTCCCAGACACAATTCCCTCTCGACACACTGGAGAGATCTAGAAAATAATCCCTGATATAAAAGTGAGATAAACTTTACACAACTTTCCAATCAGTGACACTTTTCTATCCAATATTCTGTTTATGATTGCAGCAGTTATCTGTGTGAGGGAGTGCTTGCTATCAGGAGGCCATGAACATGATGAGATAAATTGCTTAGTTAAACACTAGAACAAGGAGCATTGTGTACACACAGATACAATGTATTGTGCTGCAAGGATCTGTTCCTGTGTTTTGTTATAAGAAGAATGAGTATTTGTTCTGTTTTTGTCCTGATGTCTGTCTATCAGGAGCGGGTGAGAGGTAGGTGTCCTGATGTCTGTGTATTAGGAGAGGGTGAGAGTACTAATGTCTGTGTATTAGGAGGGGATGAGAGGTACGTGTCCTGATGTCTGTGTATTAGGAGGGGATGAGAGGTAGGTGTCCTGATGTCTGTCTATCAGGAGCGGGTGAGAGCTGGGTGTCCTGATGTCTGTGTATTAGGAGGGGATGAGAGGTAGGTGTCCTGATGTCTGTCTATCAGGAGCGGATGAGAGCTGGGTGTCCTGATGTCTGTGTATTAGGAGGGGATGAGAGGTAGGTGTCCTGATGTCTGTGTATTAGGAGGGGGTGAGAGTACTAATGTCTGTGTATTAGGAGGGGATGAGAGGTACGTGTCCTGATGTCTGTCTATTAGGAGGGGGTGAGAGGTAGGTGTCCTGATGTATTAGGAGGGGATGAGAGGTACGTGTCCTGATGTCTGTCTATTAGGAGGCGGTGAGAGGTAGGTGTCCTGATGTCTGTGTATTAGTAGGAGGTATGAGGTACGTGTCCTGATGTCTGTGTATTAGGAGGGGATGAGAGGTATGTGTCCTGATGTCTGTATATTAGGAGGGGATGAGAGGTACATGTCCTGATGTCTGTGTTTCAGGAGCAGGTGAGAGGTAGGTGTCCTGATGTCTGTGTTTCAAGAGGAGGTGAGAGGTAGGTGTCCCAATGTCTTTGTATTAGGGGGAGGTGAGAGGTGGGTATCCTGATGTCTGTGTATTAGGAGGGGTTGATAGGTAGGTGTCCTGATGTCTTTGTATTAAGAGGGGATGAGAGGTAGGTGTGCTGATGTCTTTGTATTAGGAAGAGATGAGAGGTAGGTGTCCTGATGTCTATGTATTAGGAAGGGATGAGAGATATGAGTCTCCTTTTCTGTGTATCAGGAGGGTTGTGGTACGTGTCCTGATGTCTGTGTATTAGGAGGGGATGAGAGGTACGTGTCCTGATGTCTGTGTATTAGGAGGAGGTGAGAGGTACGTGTCCTGATGTCTTTGTATTAGGAGGAGGTGAGAGGTAGGTGTCCTGATGTCTTTGTATTAGGAAGGGATGAGAGGTAGGTGTCCTGATGTCTATGTATTAGGAAGGGATGAGAGATACGAGTCTCCTTTTCTGTGTATCAGGAGGGTTGTGGTAGGTTTCCTGATGTCTGTGTATTAGGAGGGGATGAGAGGTACGTGTCCTGATGTCTGTGTATTAGGAGGAGGTGAGAGGTAGGTGTCCCGATGTCTGTGTATTAGGAGGGGTAGGTACATGTATTTTTGGTTAGGTATAAGGTATTGATTTTTCCTCGAGTTCTACAAAAGATAAAACCAGCATTTATACTCACCATTCTGTGCTATGACAACTCCCAGCACTCCCAGTAACACCAGTATCCTAGGAATTCCTCCCATCCGGGCGACTCAGAATGTTTCCACTAAATGTTAACTCCTCATTTGAATCCAACATGAAAATTCAACCAAAAATGTTCCAAATTGTTCAACCTGCAAATTGCTGAAACTCCACAACAATGCAAGAGTATTCGTTCTAAAAAAGTTACCATAAAAATGTGCAGTTGAAAAACTCGAAATATACTTGAAAAGTTTAAAAAAAAAGAATCCAAGCAGAATTAAATATCAACTTTGTAACTGGGAAAAAGTTTGCAAGTTGAATTGCTGGAATGGCATTTCCTTGAGATTTGGGGGAGATGTTTGGAGGTGATGGGCAGTAAGTGAAAGGTTGTGAGAAGTGGACGACCAACTATTCCCCTCCCTGTGTGACTCACACCCACAGTAACATTGTACAAAGGGAGGGGAGGAGGGGGCATTCCTCAGCTAGAACTCTCCTACTCACAAGGGGAGGGAGTACCAGCTCAAATACTGAGGAAAATCGCAAAACACAGAGTCCCAGGGCTTCAAGACATTCTTATCCAGCATACTGAAACAGCAATGTATCTATGTGCTGCTGTATAAATATGTAAATACTACTTACAGAGCTCCACCATAGGCTGCAGCGCAGAACAATGACTATTTAAACTACTCAATGAGTTGTGAGAAACACTTTAGGGTTTACTAAACACAAAATTCATACCTCCCAGTTTTTATTTTGGAGATTTTACTGTAGTTTAAGACACATTACTGGGAGTATTATTGCTGTGGAGCTCTGTTATACACTCAGACACATTACTGGGAGTATTATTGCTGTGGAGCTCTGTTATACACTCAGACACATTACTGGGAGTATTATTGCTGTGGAGCTCTGTTATATACTCAGGCACATTACTGGGAGTATTATTGCTGTTATGCACTCAGGCACATTACTGGGAGTATTATTGCTGTGGAGCTCTGTTATACACTCAGACACATTACTGGGAGTATTATTGCTGTGGAGCTCTGTTATACACTCAGACACATTACTGGGAGTATTATTGCTGTGGAGCTCTGTTATACACTCAGACACATTACTGGGAGTATTATTGCTGTGGAGCTCTGTTATACACTCAGACACATTACTGGGAGTATTATTGCTGTGGAGCTCTGTTATACACTCAGACACATTACTGGGAGTATTATTGCTGTGGAGCTCTGTTATACACTCAGACACATTACTGGGAGTATTATTGCTGTGGAGCTCTGTTATACACTCAGACACATTACTGGGAGTATTATTGCTGTGGAGCTCTGTTATACACTCAGACACATTACTGGGAGTATTATTGCTGTGGAGCTCTGTTATACACTCAGACACATTACTGGGAGTATTATTGCTGTGGAGCTCTGTTATACACTCAGACACATTACTGGGAGTATTATTGCTGTGGAGCTCTGTTATACACTCAGACACATTACTGGGAGTATTATTACTGTGGAGCTCTGTTATACACTCAGACACATTACTGGGAGTATTATTGCTGTGGAGCTCTGTTATACACTCAGACACATTACTGGGAGTATTATTGCTGTGGAGCTCTGTTATACACTCAGACACATTACTGGGAGTATTATTGCTGTGGAGCTCTGTTATACACTCAGAACATTACTGGGAGTATTATTACTAGCTCTGTTATACACTCAGACACATTACTGGGAGTATTATTGCTGTGGAGCTCTGTTATACACTCAGACACATTACTGGGAGTATTATTGCTGTGGAGCTCTGTTATACACTCAGACACATTACTGGGAGTATTATTGATACACTCAGACACACAGGGCCAGTTTACCCTCCTTGCAGTCCCAAGGTCAGTATCCTCAAGGCACCCCCCACTATATCTATATTATACACACACATAGTTTGGAGTACTCAGTTGGATGCTTTATATGACTAGTTTGGGGTATGATTGAATGGTGAGTGGTTGGATGATAAGTGGGACAGGATTGGGAGATGGTGTGTGTGTGTGGAGGCTGCTTGTGGTATTGCCTTTTGGGCTGTAGTCAGGGAATAGGGGATTTAGTCAGAGGATATGGACTATTGTCGGGTGGATAGAAGGTATAGTCGGGTGACAGGATTCGACTGGGGTAACAAGGACTATAGAGAAGTAACGTGGGCTATAGTAGGGTGACATGTGCTGTAGTGGTGTGACAGGGGCCATGGTGGGGTGACAGGGGTCGTGGTGGGTTGACAGTGGCTGTGGAGGGGGGACAGGGTCTGTAGTGGGGTAACAAAAGCTGGAGTTGTAGTGGGATGACAGGGGCCGTGATGAGGTGACAGGAGCTGTGGCTGTAGTGGGGTGACAGGGGCTGTGGTGGGGCTACAGGTGCTGTAGTGGGGTGACAGGATAGAGACGCAAAGCAGGACGAGGGGAGATCATGGGGTAAAGAGAAAATGGGGAAGGTGAGGAAAGATAGGGGTGGTAGAGAGATACAAGGCAGGGTGAGGAAAGATGGGGCGGTAGGGGGTTAGAGAGACAGGATTGAAGGTGAGGGTAGATAGATAAAAAAAATTCTAAATGAAAAAAATGAATGCTTCATAGGCATACCACTAATGAAAGCATGCATCCAATTTTTTTTATACATGTAATCCTTGTAGATATGTCTAAAAATAACTTGTGTCTGCAGCCTTTGCATGCCCTCCATTTTCGGGGTTATGGCCTGTTAAATAACGATGGATACAAAGTTCCCCCTGTGCTCCCACCTGGGCTCATCGGGTGAGGGATAATTTAAATTTTAAGGGGGGAATCTAGTGCCCCCTCCCCTGGCCCCCACCTATGCAGGTGGGTGAAGACAGTAATTAATTATAAAGTAGAGCATATGGACATGCAATTGCCCAGCTCCCCAAATAATAGTAAGTGCCCCCCCTCCTAGGTGGCTAAAGGTTCCAATCCCATAGGTACAATACCTCCATTATAGTAATATGGGGGTCTTATTGACTCCCATAGGATTTTTCTTTATTTAATATTATTTTAACTTTTTTTTAATCTGGTGGCTGGCTAGCAAGTGCTGGCCAGATGCCACATTATTGTCAGGATTATAGTTGATCCACCACGCAGAATAGTATCACCCCTAGGACTAAGGACAACGTTTAACCGGACCTTAGAATGGCCGGACTTAACGTACCGGGGAATAGTAAAAATACTTGCCGAGGTCAGGGACACAGAACGAGACACAATGACGAGGAAAGCCAGAATTCAAGAATACCAGAAATCAGAGAAGTCAAAACAAAGTCAAATACCAGAAAAAACACGATCATGAGCACACTCTCGGCTAAACAGCTAGTGGAAACCACGACAGGGTACTGGCAAAAAGGTAGTTTGGGTTAAAATAACCCTCTTGAGGCTGAAATTGGTTGTCTCTGGCCTCTGCCCAGCAAACATGTGTGCGCGTCTGTAAAGTGACGTCGCATGCACGTTGGCGTCATCTTTGATGTGGGCAAGGAGAGTTTCCTATGAAAACTGGAACCGCAGCAGCCAGCATCTCTAGGAATGTCATACTCGCCGGGGACCGGAACGGAAGGAGGTCAGGCAGCGCTTTGCCGCGACCAAGGAGAGTATACAATATCTCTGTCGGCGTGGCCGCTTAGTTTATGTGCGGCCACGCCGGCAGAAGAACGGGGACCCGTGACAGTACTCCCCACTTGAAGACCACCCACCGGATGGACAGGACCATACTTGAGGGGAAATTTGGCATGGAAGGAACGGATTTTGAGGCCTGCATGTATGTCTGAAGCAGAAACCCAAGAACGATCGGCAGGCCCATAACCCTTCCAATCAACCAAATACTGCGGAGACCCTCGAGAAAATCTGAAGTTGATTATAGAGGAGACTTTGTACAGAAACAACTAGGGGAGGGTCAGAAGGGGTGGTATACCTGTTGCAGATAAGGGGCTTCAGTTGGTAGATACATGAAACGTATTAATATACACAGAGAGGCGGGGAGAGCCAGAGAATAAGACACAGGATTAATCCTGCAAATTATTCGAAAGGGGCCAATAAACCTAGGTGCAGACTTCATGCTAAGAACCTTGAGTTTAATATTGCGTGTGGAGAGCCATACCCTGTCACCCACCTGGTAACCAGGGTTGGCACCAAGCCTCTTATCAGCATGCATTTTGAAACGAGTAGCAGCTGTTTCCAAAGCCGTGTGGACCTTAGTCCAAGTCTCACGTATACATGTGAGATGGTCATCCAGACCGGGAATAGTAGTATCAGAGAATACCGCAGGGAGGACAGTAGGATGACGACTGTTGTTAACAAAAAAATGGACTATGTCCAGATGAGTCATAGGTTGCATTATTTCTGGTGAATTCGGCCCATGGTAGCAAATCATACCAGTTTTCCTGAGTGCCATTAATAAAACATCTCAAATATTGTTCCCATGATTGGTTGGCTTTCTCAGCCGCACCATTGGTTTGAGGATGGAATGAAGATGAAAATGGTAATTCTATACCCAACTGTTTGTTAAATGCTCTCCAAAATCGTGACACAAATTGGGAACCCCTGTCTGACACAATATTAAGTGGAATACCATGTAATCTGACTTTCGCGTATAAATATATGAGCCAGCTCTTGGAAGACGGTATCTTTTTATTATGTTATTATTTATATAGCGCCAACCAGGGCCGGCCTTAGGGGTGTGCGAGCTGTGCGACTGCACAGGGCGCCATGGAACAGGGGGCGCCCTGTGGCCGACACAGCTCACTCATGGCCGGAGTGCAGGGGAGCTAAAAGAGGTACCTGGCTGGAGGATTAATTATTCTCCACCCGGGTCTATTTAAAAAAAAAAATCGCGGCAGAGGGGGCGGGGTTTACCGAGCGGTGGAGGCGGGGCTTATCGAGAGGCGGCGACGGGGCTAATAGCTCCCGAAGCCCCTGCTGTACAGGAAGAGGGAAAGATGCTTCCCCATCAGCCAACTGCATCCACTGGAAAGAGGTAAGTGTGTGTGTGTGACTGTTTGCCTGTTTGTGTGACTGTCTGTCTGTGTGTGTGTGTGACTGTCTGTCTGTGTGACTGCCTGCCTGTGTGCGTGTGACTGTCTGTGTGTGTGTGTGTGACTGTCTGTGTGACTGTCTGTCTCTGTGTGTGTGTGTGACTGTCTCTGTGTGTGACTGTCTCTGTGTGTGACTGTCTGTCTGTGTGTGTGTGTGACTGTCTGTCTGTGTGACTGCCTGCCTGTGTGCGTGTGACTGTTTGCCTGTTTGTGTGACTGTCTGTCTGTGTGTGTGTGTGACTGTCTGTCTGTGTGACTGCCTGTCCTTGTGTGTGTGTGTGTGTGTGACTGTCTGTCTCTGTGTGTGTGTGA